AGGAAGTCCTGGGGTGTGCAAATCAGACTTAGTAAATTCACATATAAAACTATATTCTATAAAATACAACTGAATTACCCAGGGCAGGCGGCGAGGACTCCCCTTTGCTTACTGCTCCACGGGGTTTCCCCCTTATACTTGCTTAATTGCTTAAAGTAGAGTGCAATGAAGGAAACCACTTTCGGTACATTTCTTAAGAGCCACCGCTAGTTCAATAAGTAAAGGGGATTTAAATAATAAAATGTTAATTCACATGTCAAAGAGGGGCCCGCCAGCGGCCGAGCGGTAAAGTTGCTGAATACTGGTAGTCCGGTCAGAGGTTCGAATCCCGCGAACGGGCCGGCTGCATGGGCGCTTTCGTGCTTTTCTCCATGTGTAACGTGTATACGAGCTGGTTTCCCTTAGAAAGTCCTCCACGAAGACATTCCTTCCCTTAGGCAGATAGCCCTCGAGGCTTTGTCATAATCACACACACACACATGTCAAAGATCTCTTTGTGCACAACATTTCTTGTGTAGATCTTTCCATCATTTTTAAGGTCGCCTTGCAGAGGACCATCCATTATTTTTAACTTTACGTCCGTTCTTTTACGAACTCTTGAACAGGCAGCATTAAGTTGACCCTGTCCAAATGCAGGTAAAAAAATGCCAAAACGCTTAAGCGTTTGTCCCTGAGACTTATTGATGGTCATAGCAAAGGCAAGTTTTACAGGAAATTACAGGTCTCAATTAAACGGCAATGCCAAGTCAACTTTACCCCATTGGCTAGCACAGTTACGCAAGCAACCAATAAAGTAGAAACAAACAGACACTTGAGCCGCATATAATTGAAGATATTTATTTATATCATTTTATTTGTTTCTTCATCGTTGCCGGTTGCATATTTCTGAATTCTATTTTATATATAGATGTTAAATTTATTTATTAAATGTTAAATGCACGTGCTCTTGTATTTTTAATTTTTCCGACTTAGCTTTCTCATAATATTCGTCACGCGCTGCACTGCACGGGTAATAAAACGATTTACAGTTACGCAAGCAACCAATAAACTATCGGCGACAAACACTTAAGTCGCAAAAATATAAGATATTCTATAAAAACTTTTAAAAAAAGATTATAAAAAAAGCTTAACTTTGTTTCGGAATTAAGAATAATCGACTCTCTCCGCATATTTATTCCTCTTACCAGGGTAATTAAAAATTGCAGTGAATTATAAAATGTAAAGCCCGTATTACATCGAATGCTTTAAACAATGTCTTTAAATTTTCACTAATTTTTAAGTTTAAGAAAATTTAATTAATTTTTAATTTAATTGTATTTATTAACTAGTCCTTTGTTGCAACTCATGAGTAATTCATGAACGTGTTCTGTCTAATACTCTTGTTTACCTCTTGATAAAGATTAAAGAATTATGTTTTTGTTACAATTTCCATTCTGTTTCAGAAATGATTTCCAGTTTATGTTTCAAGTTGTTTCATTTTTATTTTCTTCCTGTTAAGTAGCTGGCCATTTTTAGAAGCATTATATATTATCTTTTATTACCGTTAATTTTCAGTGATGTTCATAGTTTTTAATTAAATTATAAGGTATTTTTCTCCCTCCTTCTACGATGCCTTCGCGGTATGACGGTTAGCACATACGGCGTGTATTTGAGAGGTAAAGGTTATTAAAAAAAAAAAACTAATGACTCTACGGTGGCTCCCGAACGAAAATGTGGTGAATGATGATTCTTCACCATCAGGATTTGGCGACTGGGTCGCCTAATCCCCAGTCGCCCTTTAAAAGGGGGAATATATAAGGTATTTTCTCCCTCCTTCTACCATGCCTTCGTGGTGTAACTGGTAGCACAATCGGCACGTATTCGAAAGGTCAAGGTTCGAGTCCCGGGGAGATTCCTTTTTCACATCTCCTGGTTCAAAATAACCTAATGTCTCTGCAAAATATTTTTCAAATATTCGTCTGTCTCTCTCTCTCTCTCTCTCTCTCTATATATATATATATATATATATATCAGGTTGTATCTAGATACATGTACAGTTATCCAGAGGGATGTCAAGTGAATTTTTTATCTTTTGGCAGACGATTCATATGTACTTTACTCTTTTCAGTGGCGCACACAGGAATTTTTCAAGGGGTTCAAGAGGGAGGGGGGTGAGCCGAGGGTCGAAAGTATACCATTGTCGTATTTTACGCCAATACACCGCCAAACATAGTTTTTTTAATTTTATCATTTGTCGAGGGAAAAAAAACAGTAAAAAATAAGCTATTGAATAAATAATTAGCATTAATTAATAAAATAAATTATTAATAACGAATACTTAAATAAATTAGCAAAAAGCGCAAGAATTTTTGTATTTACTTTTTCTCATAATTCAAAAATAAAAAGAACAAAGCGAATTCATTATTATGTAAGCGTTAAGTCACAGAAGAAGAAATCTTACTTTAATCTGTAATTACAAAACTAAAAACATGATGATAACAGTGTTTTCATTTACAGCCTACTTCTATAGGATTACAAATAGTCACATGCCGTGTTTTCTGTTCACATGTAGTTCAGTTTTGAAGAGGAAGAAAAGAGAAAAATTTTATTTTCTCATTTATTAGAAATGAAAATATTGTTTGTTGCCTTTGCTTGGAATTATTTTAAATACTATGTACGTAGGGATATAATCAATCAGAAAAAAATCAAGGGCGACTGGGGGGCGGAACCCTGGACCCGCATCCTTGTGTGCGCCACTGATTCTTTTACATTTATTCAAAAATCTCTCGCAAAAATTCCTTTACAATTTACTCTTATATTTTATTTATATTCATTCATTCAGCAATAAGTTGCGCAACTTTAATAAATTTTTAACATTTTCTTTTACATTTTTCTTTTCTGCTTTATAATTCTTGTTTCAGAACGATGACCTTCAAACCTGAGATTTCATTTTAGGAACAGAAAATATTCTTCAGGGTAATTCAGCTCAAATTATCTTCCCTTTAATCTGCGTAAAATCAAATGAAAAGCTCTCTCAGTAGACGTATAATATCTGAAAGAGAACAATTCGAGATTTGTTAGTAAACATTGATATCTAACATATATCGATCAGTTATCTGTCAACATTTCTATAACTCTGTAAATGCATTGTGTGCAAAGCGGAACCTTCAATCCGGAACAAATTATCTGAACAAAAAAAGCCTCTGATGACAAATGATATCTCGAATTACGAAACCTCAAGTGCGTAACATGATTTTCCAAAGACGTTTTGAGATACTGTATACCACATAATTTAAACTCGGATCTTCTAAAAACATCATTTTAACATTTTTCTTGCTTAGCTCTCATTACCAAAGCCTTGCAGTAAGCGACTTACAGGACTATGAATTCGGTTTAGAAGAAATTACTGCCAGAATAGGGTGCAGGCAGATATTTTCAGACCTTTGAGTCTAAGACTTTATTATTATGTAAGATACTGTTTCTCTAGGCTAATTTATGGGAATTTAATAATGATATAAGGCATTTCTAACTCCTTCTTAGCATGCCTTCGTGATGTAATGGTCAGCACTCTCGGCACGTATTCGAGAGGGTTGTGGTTCAAGCGCCGGCGAGGGCATTGCTCATTTTTCAAAACTCCTGCTTCAAAAATACCTAATATATCTACAGTGGCGCGCCCGAACTAAAAGAGATGGTGGGTGAAGATTCTCCACCACCATGATTTGACGATTGGGTCCCCTAATCCCCAGTCGCCCTTTAAAAGGGGGAGTATATAAGGTATTTCTCCCGCCTTCTTAGCATGCCTTTGTGGTCATCACGCTCAGTGCATATTCGAGAGGTCCGATGTTAGAGTCCCGAAGAGGGCATTACTCATTTTTCATGTGTCCTGCTTCGAAATAACCTAACGTCTCTACAGTAGCGCCCGAACTAAAAAGGTGATGGATGATGATTCTCCACCACCAGGATTTGGCGAGTGGGTCCCCTAATCCCAAAGGCCCTTTATAAAAGGGGAGTATATAAGGAATTTCTCCCGCCATCCAACCTTCCTACTGTAATGGCCAGCACACACGGCACGTATTCGAGAGGTCGGAGGTTCGAGTCCCGGCGAATGCATTGCACATTTTTTACTTCTCCTGCTTCAAAAAAAAATAACTAATGTCTCTACAATGAAGATGTCAGAAGTTACTTGAAGGCTATACAAATGAGTTCAGCAAGAAAGAACTACAACTTCAGAAATCAAATCCGCAAAATTTGAACTAAAGGGTGTAAAATGCAAAGTTTTCTTGTCACTATATCGCCATCAGGGTGTTATCAAAAACGGTAGCAAATTACAGCCTAAACATTTCCAGTGAGAATGCAGTATCTTATAATAGAAGCATTTTAAAAGGTAAGCAAACAGCAAATCATATTGCACATATTTAAAGTGAAGCAAAGGCCAGTTGAGTCTCAAGCAGAATCGATCGGAGCTTAATTAAAAATTAAATTAAATTAAATTAAATTAAATTAAAGGTATTTCTTAAAGACAGTTATTAGGTCTTTTATGCAAAAGAATCTCCTATCCAAAGAAGAGAAAAATTCAAAAGAATTGCCTATCTATTTTTTATCTTATCTTCCCCATCATTTTCCACTTATGCCACCTACTTTCTTTTGCACATGGTACCGTAAAATTAAACTATTTTTTCTTCTGTTTTATAAGTTAAATAATTGATAAGTTAAAAACTGCTACCGTTTGTGTTCATCTTTTTTCGTTTCATACTTATGGATGTCCATTGCTGTTGGGTTATCAACTTGTGCAAAAAGTATTGTTGCAAAGTTTAAATAAAAAATCGTTTGTTGTCCAGGAACAAATTAATCCATTTTACGCTCATTCTTACGGGGAAAATTATTTCGGTTGATGAACGGTCTTTAGGAGGGAAATAAATTCTTGAACCGAAATGTCATTCTATTTGAAAATTTATTCAAACTCTAAATCAATATCAATAAATTCTCGTAGATATCAAAGGAAATATTTCTCTGCCTTATAGGTGACGGAACAGCTTCCGGCAAATGCAAAACCCTTCGACACATGGAAATCCTTGGGAGGCGCTCTGGGGACTCACTTCGTCCGTAGCATCACATACGGAGGTGAACTTCTAGCCTCGGTTCGGATGGAATGCAACAGCACTCGCGATAAGCAGAGAATAAAAGGTGCCTTCGATATAGGAGGGAAATTAGAAATATTTGACATTGGCGTAGAAGGTCAGTGTGTAAGCTTAAAGTAACATTTAAAAAACCAATCGTACCAAATTTGCATGTCTTTAGAATGTTCCTGTCACTTTGTTTTTTTACATGATTATTAGTTAAACATATTTACTAATTTTTGACTGGTATTTTTTCTTTATTTTTCTCATTAAATTGATTCTCCTTCACCACCACCCCACACACACACACACTATAGCAGCTGTGCATCTGTTATTCTTTTTATTGTTTTAGTTCCCTTAATTTTAACAGTTTTTCATTTTTACTTCTTTATTTATTGGGATATACTTTCTTAATTTTGTATTATTTACTTGTACATACTTAAAAACGTTATTTATTGTCTTCAGTAAGCGAATTTCGTATTCTGGCGAAACGAGAAATATTGCCACTTGCAAAAAATATTGTCTGCAAGCTTCGTGCGCAAACAGTCCGCTAAACGAATGCGCAGCTATGACTTCAATAATTAACAATAAGTGAACAAGCTTCCCCATGGCATTGATTTGCGATGAAATAATAACGCAGTATTTTTTTTCTACCATTAGATATTGCCATTTTGTGTAGCTCCCTTTAAATATAAGAATTTATGTTCCATATCATTAATTAGGGGAGACTAATTCTTAAATTTGTACGCTTATTGCAACTACTTAAAATTCTTTGAGCTGTTGCACTAAAATCTGAATGCCGAGGTTAGAATGGAATTTCCTTTACCTAATTGAACGTTTTTCACTTAAAGTAAAAATTGGGAAGCCTCGTTTATGTAACTGAAACGTTTAAAACTAAAAAGAAGGTAATGAGTTATCCTCTGACCACAACCCGGTCATGATCAAAGTGGGGATCAAAGTGGGGTCACCACACAAAAAGGCCTTTATTGCAAATTGGGCAGGATATGCCAAAGCCTTAAACAACACCACATTACACATTCCAACAGCACACACAGGTGATGAGTTAGATGCATTGGTCACCAGCTTCACTACTGATCTGATAAATGCTCTTGATGCCAACAGCACTCCTGTCTCTCACAGGAAAAAAGCCACAGACCCTGAACTTAAAAAGCTCATTCAAAAAAGAAATGCTGCCCGCAAGGAACGGCAAAGATACAGATATCCTGAGGATAAGACTGCATTAAATCGACTAAACCACCAGGTCGGGACTCTTACACGCCAACACGCACAACGCAACTAGGCCAACTATCTCTCTTCCCTTCCACGGAGAAAAGCTCCGTCTGGAAGGCGACTGCAAAATTAAAGAGATGCTACACCAACATTCCGCCCTTAAACAGTCAACAACAAATTGCCACCACGGAAATTAAGAAAGCTGAGTCACTAGCTGATCACTATGCTTCTCAATTCTGCGCAAGCAACATCTCCCACCCTCCAACAGAACACTTGGTTAACAGTACACTAACAGAATTCCTCTCAAAGTCAAGCACGAACAACATTACTCCTGTCAAAGCATCAGAGGTCACGGCTATATCGAGAAACTTCATGTCAACAAGAGTTCTGGACTGGACAAAATTTCAAACAAAATGATCAAAAGCATAGAGACTCTCATGCTATTAAAACTTGTTGCTATTATCAACGCCATGCTTCGTCTGGGCCACTATCCTACGCCATGGAAGACAGCCATCATTACCCCAGTCTCAAAGCCTGGAAAGCCAACTTCTTACAGACCCATCAGCCTTCTATCCTCGCTAAGCAAGGTAGCAGAATACATCATCCTTCAGAGAACCCTTGCTTATACTGATATGAACAACATCATCATCCCACAGTAGCATAGGTTTCGTAAGAAGCACTCTACTGTTCACCAGCTCTACAGAGTCACTGAGATGATATCACAAGGACTCCAAGACCGTCAAACTACAGGTGCCATCTTCCTCGATGTAGCTAAAAACCTTCGATCGGGTTTGGCTTGAGGGCCTCATGTACAAAATCATCACTCTAGGTTTCCCAGAGTACATCACAGCCATCACCTACTCCTATCTTAAGGATAGACACTTTATCGTTTGTGTAAACAATTCACACTCTACCCCACGGGCTATCAAGGCTGACGTCCCGCAAGGGAACCTCCTTGGGCACATTTACTATAATATCTACACGAACGATATCTCACAATCACCACACACCACCCTGGCAATGCACCACCACGGCAATTCTCTCAAAAAATGCATCTCCTGGCCCAGTTATACAAGCACTCCAAACACACATCCATACACTTGAGTCCTGGCTCAACGCCTGAAAGTTAAGATCAACATCGACAAATCTGAGACCATCTGGTTCACCAAAAGGACTACCATCGGAAAACGAAGACTACATTCCATATGTATGACGTTCTTGGTCAGTGCATGCCCGATACCTTGGAATGCCCGATACCTAAGCATGCCCGATACCTTGGAATTACTTTGGATAGGCGACTCACCTGGACCCCACACATTACACAGATTATTGCCAAATTCCGTGCCCGTAAACGAACACTTACCCCCCTTAATTGGCCGGAACTCAGTTCTCTCTATTGACAACAAATTGCTCATTTACAAGACCCTTTTGCGTCCCATACTCTCATATGCCTATCCTGTCTGGGGATATGCTAGTATTACTAATGTCAAGAAACTTCAAATAGTACAAAATATATTACTCAGACAAGCGGCGAACTGTCGATGGTTCATCAGAAACTCGGTAGTTCACCAAGAGCTTGAGATTCCAACGTCATATGTCTCATTTTGCTAACCTTGCTGAAAAATTCTATAAAAATATTCCAAATATTAACAACAGCACTATTCCAGTGCTAAATCACTACTATAACACTGAAAGAAATATAAAACGACCGCTTGCGGTCCTCAGGTACCTCGATCAGTAACTGTCTTTTTAAATTACGCATTCACCTAATTGTCACAACTTAAATATATCTATACGTTACCTCATACTGATTGTTTTTTGGTGTTGCTGTTTATGTTGTAAATATTTGACCTGTATATATTGTATATTTTTTATTTTTTTCACTATGCTTTATATTCAATGTTACTTTATGTTACTTACTACTATTATGTTAACTTCACACACGAGAACTCTCATATTCAGTGAGCTTTAGGCACTTTCCTGTTTTTCTTCTCTCCCTGCCAATTGCTTATCATGCGCACTTACCTTCGTCATGGCCTACACCTCAGGGGTGTTTCTGTCGGACTCATTTACGTACTTTCCCAGACTTTTATTACTGCTCTGAACTTTCATTTGCATAGACATGTATTATAAACTGTTCGAAACTACGAAGATTCGAAATTCGGAAGCATTACGCCGGGATAGCGACTTCACACAGGTACCCATTTCTGCGAACCTCATCGAGTTTGCCTGAGCCGACAAATGAGATAAGTCACACACACACACAAATATTAAACCATATTTAAAGAAAACGCGAAATTGTAATTGTGATAATGCACAAACACTTCAAGTTCTATGCAATGCATTTTCATTTTATTGATGATTATAGAAAATAAATAGTAGTGTACATAAAGTTAGCAATTTATGTGCAATAAATAATCAAATTGGCAGACGTTGTTACATTATTCTTCATCTTATATTTATGGGTCCAAATATAATTTATGCCTGATATCCACATCTAATTTTCATCTAATTCAACATTACGAAATCTACTACATACTTACACACAATATTTAGATCGAAATTAAATAACGTTTTATCTTCGCATAATTTGGAATATTGCCAATTTATTCTTACATCTTCCCTCGTCTCTTTTACCATGTACATAGGATTAATTTCATGAAAAACTCAAAAAATCACCCCTTTAATTATGTTTTACAACTTGAACTTTCGAGAAGATACATAATATCTTATTATGTCATTCACCTATAAAGAAATCGGTTTTAGAAATTACACGATTTCGAATTTTATGTAACTCGTTATTTGATTGGGTCAGAACTTGAAAAGAAATATTTGAATTTCTTCCTCTAAGTCGAATTCTATTTTTGTATAGATACATATATTTGCGATGAAAGTATAATAATTCACGCAGCATTACAGTAATTCAATAATATATTGCGTTAACAATGCAACATTTTATGCGAATTTTGTCCAAATTTGGTATAACAGAAGTTTTAGAAGTTGAATATTTCTCACATATCTTTGTTCTAACTAAATTAACACAGTAGGATTTTTATTTTTATATCGTCGTATATATTTTTTAAAAAAATTCCTCAATTTTTTTCGAACATCTTAGCGCAGTTAGGTGGTCAGACAAAAGTTGTTTGATTTTTCAAATATCGTTTTGATAATGATCGAAATGATGGATTTGGAAATCAGAATATTCAACCCTTCATTTTGTGCAGCTTCATGATTTAAAGCGATGATGAAGTTGGATTTACAAATCAACAAATGTTTAAATGTACACTGGTGTGCAAAAATTAAAGACGAAGTTGAAAAATTAGCATATCAGCGGAACGAAGAGGCAGAGCGGACAGAAAGACCAATCAGGAGATTAAGTAAGGTGATGTACGGTAGCACATGCGCAGATATGCAGGTAGACATAATGGGGGAGTGTCTGAGTAGTATAAAGCATGTTGTCGGTGTAAGATCAGTATTTCTGGCAAAGAGATTGCACGCCGTATAGCAGTTAAAATCACACCGAGTTGCTGCCTCAGCGAGAAATGGCGAATAATCAATCTGTTAGACGACATCTGGATGCTTTTTTTACCCGAGGTCGAATCATTGGGAAGTTGGAGGAAGGCCGCAGTGTGACAAGTGTGGCTGCAGAGTTCGGAATTGCTCACAGCATCGTTTCACGACTTTGGAGACAATTTCAAACTACAGGAACAGCTATCTGGGGGGTTTATTAGTGGTCGTCCACGAGAAACCACACCCGCAGATGACCGGTATATTGCCTTACAGGCCAGAAGAAACAGGCTGCAGACAGCGGGAGAAATCGCTAGACACACGACACAGGCGACTGGACGATCGATATCGCGTTTTACGGTGGCCAGAAGACTGCACGGTGGTGGTCTGTTTGCACGACGCCCTGTACGGTGTGTACCTCTAACGCCTGCCCATCGGAGAAGGCGTTCTCTGTTGTGCCGGGAACACCGGAATTGGAGAGACAATGAATGGGGACGAGTACTCTTTACAGATGAGAATCGCATACTCATCTGGAGAGAGCGGGAAAGCCTCAATCATTCCTCGAACATCATTGAAAGGGACAGGTATGGAGGTGGCGGTGTTCTCGTTTGGCATCATGCTTGGTATCATGCTTGGTAGTCGTACAGATCTTCACATCTTCGACGCAGGTTCAGTCAACGGGACCCGTTATTGTAACGAGATTCTTCTTCCTTATGTGCGTCTTTTTAGAGGCGCTATGGGTCCACAGTTCCTTTTCATGGACGACAATGCACCATGTCATCGCACGGTAGCTGCCGAACAGCTCTTAGAGAGTGAGGATATTGAACGTATGGATTGGCCGGCACGATCTCCGGATCTCAATCCCATCGAGCATGTATGGGATTTTCTAGGAAGACGCTTGACAGCTCGTACCTTACCACCAGTAACGATTCCTGAGCTTCGTTTGGCGCTGCAAGACGAATGAGCAGCAATACCTCAACAACACATTGACACCCTCATTCTTAGCATGGGCAGACGCTGTGAAACCTGCCTAGCAGTCAGGGGAGATCATATTCCCTATTAAAGACCGGATGTTTCTTGCTGGACACCCATCACAGGGATGTTTCGGCCTTCAGTCGCATTGCGCTCCATGCTACTTTTTTCAATAAAACTTCTTTTTATCCCTCTGATTTCTCTTTTAGTAAGTGTTGCTTACATTACACGTGTCCTTACGTATTGGGGATCTTACGGTATTAAATGTGTTGATTTGGAAAGCTTTTGTACAAAGTTATATTGAAAAAACCGTCTCGTCCTTAATTTTTGCACACCAGTGTAAATAACGTCATCGGATAGATAGGAAGAATTCGTTCGATAGCTTAAGCTTTATTTTTTTTTTAATTTTAAATGCATTTAATTAAAACTGTGTATTAAAAAAATGTTTATTTAAATTAATTTATGTATATATCTATATATATATGTGTGTGTGTGTGTCTGTGGTGTGTGTTTAACTATTATTAAACAAGTAATATATTAACAAAATATTATTAAACAAGATATATAATTAACAATAAATATTAATATATTAAACAAGATATACCGAGTATTAAACTCGATATATCTTTCTTACTTTCTGAACATAATCAATTGCAGCTGAAGGAGAATATTTGAAAGAAGTTTCGAAATCTGTGGAAAAGACTCAGATTAAAGTATTCAGCTCTATACCTCTGAGCCAAGCTCCTAACGACATGAAATCTCTTAAAGCAGCACTCAACAATTTCCCGGAAGATTTGAAAAAGTTCAATGGTGGCAACGGAATTCCTTTAAAGATAGAGCTTTGGCCTCTCGATTTCTTAGACTCTACTAGGCCTGCTTATATCAAAAACAGGTACTTGCAAGTGTATTCTAGCATTAAATTACTGTAATAAAACTTGCTGTCTTGGAGGCTTCTTTGTTAAAAATCTAAATGAAATTCATTGCGCTAAAATTACTTGAATGATGTTTGAGTCAACAAGTCTTCTGTCAGATATGTCTATGGGTATTAAATGGGAGACTTGTGTACTTGTGTCCGGAATATTAATGTGCAATACTGCTGCATATTTTCTTGAAGAATAAAATATACCTTCAATTATCAGGGTGCAGATTATCCGGTTTGAATTATTCGTGCATGGCTGGGCAGACTCCAGCACACTGAATAAATAATTCGCGTGAAAGTGTGTAAAAAAAACAAACAACGCGCAAGTCTAATCATGCTCCAAAAATTGGCTGAATTGCGTATTTAGTTTTAGTTTCAACAATTTCTTCTTATTCATTTGCATTTTGCCATAGTCGAAAGCATCCTTTCGGTTAATCTCTGGGTTTCTTGTTGTTGTTGTTATTGTTTCGTACGTATCTGTCGCATTTGCACATAATGTCGATCGGGATAATATCAAGGAATGTTTCGAAGGCGATTCGCCTGAGCTGGGCTTTTAATGCTAGTGTGATGCGGATATCTTTTCAAATGTCGGAAGAATAAAATAGGCAAATAGTGGCACTGATCGTACAAGTGAAAAAGATGCTGTAAATTTCATTAATCTCGCCACAGCAGTGACTTCCGTTGAAATTCCGTTGGACTTCATTAACCAAACAGGAGAATACGTTGAGAAAACAGCAGTTCGAAAAGTACACAGTGAAATTCGTCAACTAATTAAAATTTCTCAAAATAAAAAGGTTTTAAATTGCTGACTTTTTAAGAAATAAACGCATAGAATATGTATGAAAATTGATAGTTTGGATTATCCGTGTTATTCAGCTATCCGTGACTTGCTTCCCAGTGTGACTGCACTGTACATTTAACATTAACAATGTTGGCGATTCCTTCTTATAAAAAGAAGGAAAAGAGCTTTGGCAATGTTGCCCATTGCTCTTCCGCCATTTGAACATTTAAAACAAAGATTTTAAATGGTTATTCCCGTGCAAGGTAAATAGTAAATAAGTAGTCAAGATCCCAAACGGCCACCAAATATATAGCATTAGTAAAGATCTCTAAATTCAGGGGGTCGGTTAAATCGTTAAAGCATCCCAATTGTATGAAAAGCCGATTTCAATCCTTCCCAAAACACCAAACGCAAGCTCTTGACCAAACAAGGGTACGATGGTGAGTCTGAAATAAATTAAACTGAGGAGGACAGAGGTACTTTCTTAAGCCAAGTGGCCAGGTGGTGTATATAGATTTGATATCTATATTTATATTCCAAAACACAGCTGTGAGAGGGAATTCCCTGCATAGTTACTTTTACCCCCCTCCAAAAAGGAGGACTCACAGGGCGTCTCTTTGCTTGTTTCTTGTGGTTTCAAATCCATCTTACCTGTAGGTGTTTAGTATACATTAGAAACCCTATTATGCCAGACAGCCATTTGTATAGAAGGGCCTGATCGAAGCTGATGTAGGAAAACCCAAGGAATTTGTTTCTATGGACAGAAAACACCGGACATCATCCCAGGAAGTGAATAGGTGTTTCCTCTTCTTCTCCACAAGCGGGCAGAGAAGAGATTCGACAAGACGATACTGCACTGTAACTAAATGATGACTGATAACACGCCGTATGTAGTCATCATCATTAGTTTCCATAATTCATCTTGGCCTTATGTAAAGACCCAGGGAAAGGCGAAAAAGGCAAGTCATTGAAAAAAAATATTAAAGGTTGTCTGTACGCATTTTACTGTATAAGGCATATTTAAAAGATTGCATTAAAACTAAGTTTTCTTTAAAATGTTTTTCAATCGGATAGCAGTACAAAAAACCTAACGACGACACCACATGACTTCCTTGTACAGAATATCCTCGAATTTTCATTATATATATTTCTCATTCAATTAATTCAGTTCTCACTTCGCGGTAAGGCAAAAATACATAAAAATTCAAAATATTTTCATTAAAAATTGAAAGATATAGAAGAACATAAAACACCAAGTACAGTTAAAAGAATTTTAAAAAAACAATATGTACAATTAAAATTACAGTTTCTACGCAAAAAGAAGCCAATAACTTAAATGATAATTCCAGAATAAATTAAGCATAATTTAATTCGCAATAAAAAAGGAGACATAACTTTGTTGTCGCAAAGCTTAGTTTCTCTAGATTGGAAACAAATCCACATTTCTGCTAATTTTCAAATGTAAACAAATATGGCTGCCATGCTAAACAAAAATTAGGCTTAGCCGCACTTAAAAAAACTTTTAAATTGTTGACAATTACACAATTATTGAATGCACCTTGACTAAAGGCATAAAAACCTTAACCGGAAGGTAAGAACAACATAATACAATCATTTTTAAAGCAAAAAGGGCACAATTTACAAGCATATAAGAATAAAGAAACTGAGATTACTAGGTCAAGTAACAGAGTGGATATATATATGTATGCATATATTTATATACTTCTGGTGCGTCCGATTACAACCAAAATGGGAGGCGCTCATCCACATGTTATAAAAGTCCTATATGCAAAATTTCAACTTTCTGAAGCTACTCGTTTTTGAGTTAAGCGAGGTGCATACGTACATACGCACATACATACAGACGCCACGAAAAAAGCTCTTTAGAATTAATTTTAAATCAGTTTTATATTTTTTGGGGGGTAAGAGTCTTTTATTTTGTCCTTAAGTACAGTTGTCACGCAAAAATATCCTCAAATTGCATTCGATAGCGGTCAGAATGGATATTTTCGTTCAAATAAGATATCCGAAATTTTTCGCGATTACAATACTTCCTTTTTACTTCCTAAAATGAATTAAAATTAGACTTAGCCGCAGTGCAACAGCTTTTAAATTGTTGATAATTCTACAACTATTGCTGGCAGATTAACTCAAAACCTTAACCGGAAGATAAGAACAACATAATTCAATCATTTTTAAAGCCAAAAATGCACAATTTACCACCATATGAAATTTAATAAAACTGAGCGTATGGAGCCGAGTAGCAGAGTGGGTATATATATATATATATATATATATATATATATATATATAATACTTTTAGTGCGGCCGATTCCAACTAAAAAGGGAGGTGCGCAACTACATGTTATAGTAGCACTACTATATACAATATTTTAATGTTTTGAGGCTATTTGTTTTTGAGTTATGCGAGATACATACATACATGCATACGTATGTACAGACATTACGAAAAAAATCTCATCTGAATCCATTTTAAAACCTTTTTTCAACCCGGTTTGGGAAACACGAGACTTTATTCTGTGCTTACGTACAGATGTGACGCAAAAAACATTGTTGATTTTCATTCGATAGAGGTCAAAATGGATATTTTCTTTGAAATATGATACCCGAAAATTTTCACGATTACAGTAGTTCCTTCGTATAAGGAACCAATAATAAATCAGCAAAGTTAAAAGTATATATTCCTTGTTCATCGATTCCTTAAAAGCTTATTTCACAAAGGATAAATAACGAAGGGTATATTTCTTCTTTATACTGTGCATAAATATTTGTCTAAATATTTCTTTTAAATCAAACATAATTATCTCAAACTGATTGACCTCTAAAAGCTTAGGGATGAAGTGAATTCTCACAGCTTACACCTAAGATGATTATGTCTGTAAGTGGCCGCCATTTCTAAAAACATAAACATAAGTATAGGACATCATATCCTTGAGATGTTCATCTACACAGAAGACCAAAATCATTTGGAACCAAGATCGCTGCCCTAAAGCAGGAATTCTCAAACTTTTTTGCCACATGCTCTTCTTTCATCACTGCTAGCTAAAACTGGCTAAAATTTAGGTAATTTTAAATAGTTGGCTGAAACTGAAAACAAGCTTTTTGACGACAAAATCTCTTATTTGGCAACATTTCTCCTCCCTCTGGCAAATTTTATAATCTATTTTTTGCGTTTCTAATGAATTTATCTTTTATTTATATAATAGTTTCAAAGATTCGTTTTCTGATAGTTTAATCATATTAACCGAATTGTTGATCACATTAAGCGATGCATTTTCCTGTTCTTGTAGTAGAGTCACGTTAGGTTATTTTGAAGCAAGCGATGTGAAAAATGCGCAATGCCTCCCCGGTACTTGAAACTGGACCTCTCGAACAAGCGTGCTACCATTACACAACGAAGGCATGCTCGAAGGAGGAAGAAAATACCTTATATAATCCTCCTTTTAAAGAGTGACTGGGGATTAGGAAGACCTAGTCGCCACATCACTGTGAAGGATTATTGTCTACCACCCTTTTAGTTCGGGCGCCAGTTGTAGAGTCATCAGGTTATTTTGAAGCAGGAGATGTAAAAATGCGCTATGACCTCGCCGGGACTCGAACCTCGACCTCTTGAATACGCGCCGAGTGTACTCTTGTTACACTACGAACACATGCTGGAAGAAGGGAGAAAATACCTTATATCGTAAATAACGGGACGGACTTCGGTAATTCGATAACAATATCAGAATGATAAAATTAAGCGTGATCACATTAAACGGCATCTTACTGTGTGAAATGGGAATGAACGACACGCCAAATAAAACTGAGTGTAAGAAAGTGTAACTTTGATTGATACAGATTTTACGGTTTGACAATGATTCGAAGGCAATTAGACTCATGTTTCAGCTGAGAAAGCCGGTATTGTTGAATTTATGAAAGCTGTTGAACCGCTGTTAAAATAAAATCTAAAACAATCAATTGTTGTTTTTTTATTTTTTAATACTCAGAGTTCAACATGGGGATTTATTTTAATTCCAGTTCTCTGAAAGGATAGCAAAGCGCATTCCCCCCTCTTGTCATTCAACATTATTCAGTAATAATGAATACAGGATCTCTTGGACCGGACGTTCTTAATTTAATTTAAAATTAACCTTTTTACAGGGCCCTGGAAGCGAACTTAGATTTCTTCGAACAAAAATTTGACGACCTATTGAATACGAAGCAAGCCATTTCTGAATGGATGAAAGTTATGACTCAGCCTCTCAGTGAAGAGCAGGAGAAGAAGGTAATTATAGCAGAGTTCCACATAAAATATTTGTAATGCAATTTAGCCTATCATGTGCGAACAAAATTTAAGAATGCAGTTTAATTTACAAAACATCCAAATGATCCTGCCGTGACAGAATTTCAAAGTTCAGTACCTAATTAAAGAAAATTCTGTACGACTTAAAAAATTAAGGTTTCCCAAGAAGGTGCATATTTGAACTTCAGATTCAAGAAAATTCAAACTTACGCCAGTTTTACAGAAAATTCTATGCATTTTGAGATTCCATCTTCTTCACACTCTTTTCTGCTGAACGCTGGTAGTTTGAATTCTGTTGAATGTGTTGAGAGTTTCCGGGGTTTTCTCCATGTTTTATGTGAATATAAGCTTTTTTTCCTTTACAAAGTTCTTCACGGAGGCATCGCTACCCTTGGCCAGATATCCGTAATTTGCTTTATTATAATCTAATAAATCGAAATTCTGTTAGGAAAAACTCTGTTCTGGTTTAACTGATAGAGGTGAATCACAAGAGATTTGTCTGAAAATAGGGATTCTTTCAGAGTTCTTTCTAAGGAAAAGGGGCCCGAGCGGTAAAGTCGCTAAGCACTGGTAGTTCGGTTCGAGGTTCGAATCCTGTGAACGGGTTGGCTTCATGGGCGCTTTCGTGGTTTTCCTATGTATAACGTTTATACGAGCCAGTCCACTTAGAAAACCCTCCACGAAGGCATTCCTTCCCTTATGCAGATAAGCCTATTGCTCGTTGCAGTAATCTGAATAAACCAATAAGTCACTTCTAAGAAAAAGTGTCTCATATTTACTTCCCGCGGGAAAATAACGAAGCTCGTTTGACGAGATTTAAATTCGAATGCTCAGCGGTCTTATCCTATTGACCAGGAAGCTATTCTGTTAAGATGAAACTAAAGCTTGCAAAAAAGGTGTAAGCAAGGCAAGCAAAGCCTTTGCTAGATAAATCGGTAATTGATTAATGCTAAGGGTATGAGAACGGTCTGTCTGTGCAGTGACTGCCTTCAAGGGAAATTTGATTCATGTGTGAGTTACACATTTGTAAAATCATGAGAATAATAATGTATAACTACTCGGCTCCATTAAGCTTCAAATCTGAGATGCAGTTTTTATGGATGCAATGATTTAATGCGCTATATATTTTGGCTGGTTACTTTATTACCGGATATCTTAAATAAAAGATATATCCAGATTGAATTTCGGTAGAACACTATATTTATTGGCGTATATGTAATGGTAACATGTGTATGTGTATATGTAATGACACTATGACAACACATTTGGCACGTGTATGCTCCTTGATCAGTTGTGTACATGTAAAGACAACATGATAACACAGGTTGCCCTTGTAAGTTCAGTCTCACTATAGGAAATGTTAGAACTAGACTAATTTTTCTAGTAAGCACAGATCAGTTCTTTTTAGCACAGTCTGACACCACTTTAAGCTTCTATATAGGATCTTGTATGTTTTGTAGAAGCTATATGAATGATGGAGCTAGGGTAAGATATTGTTGCGTTTCTCTTTTTTCCTGACACCAGTTGTTACATTATCTTCTTCCTTCACGTTCGTACGGGATTCGTTTGGATTTGGAATGTATAATGACGATGCTACTTGATGAAATATCGAAACACACTTTATTTAGCCAATATTAATCAGGACAGCTCGAAAGTCGTCAAAGTCGTCAAAGATCTACTATAAACACTCTGACACAATCAGCGACACAGCCTACACACTATCACGCTATAACGGTGGAGACAGCTTCACTGCAAAGCACCAGAGTACAGCTCCCGACTCGGCTCGGTCGTTCTCGGAACTCCACATACTCTCGAGACTCTCCACGCTACAACTCGCGATGCACTCGACGACACCCAGAGCACAGCTCCCGATTCTTCGGTTCAGTCGTTCCCGGAGCTTAACACATTCTGTCGACGATGCACTAACCGCGATACACTAAGAGACTCTTCGATGCACTCGACGACCCACTCGGCACTCGCTGCCCGGCTGTCAACTCGATCGACTCCTCACGGACTGATTAACTATCTCGCTCTCTACGAGGCACACACGCTCTGACTGCGGACCAGCAGGGTTTATATAGCATTCGGCTTGTGTTCGAGAACATTCTGAGCTAAACCGGTAAACCGGTAAGAATTCGTTCCAGAAGATTCTCCGTCCGTCCAAGGCATACCGCCAATTTTGTCACCAAATGTCGCCAAATGTTGCAACCTTGCCTTCCCTTGCCATTTATGACAAACCTAAACCTTCTTTGCGGGGAAACTATCTCACCGCGCCTGTACATTTCGTAACAATATTTTTTAATTCTCTTTGCTTAGTTTATGCAAGGCGGTCCGCTATAAAGTACCTATTTCAAACATAATATGAAAAGATTGGCAGCCTTATTTCTGGCGTGATGTGGGCAGAAGATGCTAATATAAAGGCAGTGTAAGATTTACGTATAAGCTGGAAAAGTTATAGCTCAGTGCCCCCGCTTTCTTGAGGGCCTCCCAAAAAACCCTTTAGATATCCTAAAATCATATTTCGCGCTGACATATAATATCTGGACGACTTTTAATGGGCCTCATATCTCGAAACGCTTAGGGCCTTATCAAGTCTATACCCGGCACTGTATAAAAGCAACATAAAGCTTGAATGTTACTTCATTTGGTGACACCAAGTTGCCAAGTAGATGAATAGTCAGTAAAGAGAGAGTGAGAGGTTACGACCTCGTCCAAGGTTCGTGACACGAATATTAAAATTTCATTTTTCAAGGACCACCATGTAATTACAGTTATCTAACCTAAAAGTGATTTATACAAATGTACGCTTCGGTCATTCTTTTTGAAGAAAGAAGTAAAGTTTCCGAAATGACTTTCAGATCGGGAATTTTTACTCAGAAATCCAGAAAACTATCCAGCCATTTTACAAGGTGATTGGAGATCTTGACATGTCTAAGGGAAGTGAACAGCTGAAACCTGCCAATGATGCTTACGGAAGTGGCGTTCCAGGAATGTACTACAAGAAATACTTATTGTTACGGCAAGCTGTGGTAAGATCCTTCATGCATTTCAAAATGTTTTGAATCTTTTTTTGCAATAAAAATTCTTCTTAAGATTCTTGAATGATTTTTCATTAGATTTTGTACTACAAAATTATTATTCTAATAAATGTATTTATTTATTTTTAGGCTAAAGATCAAGGGGGTAAGTTTTTATTCACATTTAAGCTGTCCAATCTTATCTAGTAATATAAAATATAAGAGGAATTTTAAAATTCTATTTAATTTTTTTCAGTAATTTATTTTTTAGTTAAACACTTTTCCACTTAAATTTAAATAATTCAAAACATTTGACCCACGATTATCAGACTATATATATATATTTATTTATATTTATTTTGATACTTTTGGAAAGGAGGGGACTAATGATCTTCGAGAAGTGGTGGAGGTGCATATGCCGAAAAAAGGTTAATGACCACTAGTCTAGAATAAAAGGTTTTTTTTTTTTTTTTTTTTCTTAATTTAATTTCATATGGCTATTTAGAAATTGATTATTCTGAACATGTCTCAACGATCCACCTAATTAGCAAGTTATAAAAATTAAGTTTATTGTAAGAAATGCCGCCCAAAAAATTTTGCCGAAGCGGATCGCCATCCTCTAATTACTGGACAATGTTCTGTAGAAAGTCCTCTACGAAGGCATCCCTTCCTTTATGTAGAAAATCCAAGTGTGCTTTACCATCGTCAAATAATCCAATTTTTCTAAAGCAAAATCTAATATTTGTGATATAGTTTTGTCACAAAGTACAGATTGCTAGTTTCTGTATACATTTATTTTATTAATTTTGTTCAAACTCTACATAATTTTGTAAAATATTATTTTTTATTATACGTTTTGTAACCAAAAAAAGTATCGAAACAAAACGCTAGAGATTTTGAAACATTAGTAACTAAGGGTTTTGAATTTATTTAAGAGTAAAGATTTAGTTTTCTGAATTGGCAACATCAAACATCAATTTTTAAGAAGAAAAGCGAAATATGCATGAAAATTTTGTATTTTTTAATTTTTTCTATATCTTTCAAAATTTTGAGCATTTTTAATGGTAAACTCTTCTTTGGCTGTAATCTGAAATGTTCAGGATTAGGATGATTTAGATTCTGAAGAAGCATTCCAGGACTACCTGATTAAAGGAAATACCTTCGAGAGAGACATTTTAAGGGAAATTGGCTCTTACGCATATACTTTACACGAAAACTTTAATGCAGACAACTCGTATACTGAGATTCGAACTAGAACTGCACGATATGATTTGGAATTGGTTCAAAGAATCGATACTGAATGAATGAACAGTTGATTCCGGAAAACCAAGTGGTGGCTCTTTTAAGAGCCGTTTGCATTGGGGGTTTATCAGACCTAAGGAGTCTGTTCCATGTGTCGACTAGCTCCGCTATGCATGAAATACAGATTTTTCAGCTGAGGAAAGCTTGTTTTTTCGACGCCATGGAGCAATAACGGGTGTGCCAGATGTCAACATTGGCTGGCTCAGATAAACCCCAGTGTGAATAGCCCTTTTCAGTTCACGGACAGCTTCTTTTGGAAGCGTATCCCGAAATAAGTATGTGCTTTTCGTTTACTTTACTGAGCGAGCGAACGCCCGATTCGAAAGAAAAAAAACAGCGAAACTTTTTCTGGAAGAGTGCGAGAGAAAGTTCGATCACCGTTTTAAGGCAGAGTTTTTGATTTTATTTTATTCAAAATGTGAAATATTGTTTTAGTATTTTTATATTTTTCTATCATTGTCAAAATAAAAAATTTTAAAAATATTGGAATAACAAAGATCTTATGGAATTATCTTAAGAATCCTTAAGAAAGTTCAATAAGTTATTTTTAAACTAAAGTTCTTCTTTAGTTGATTTTTAATTTGGTTTTAATAAACTATTATCTTAGTATCCATTATGATCCAAAATTTATTTAATTATCCACTAAATAGGGATACTGAAATATTTATCTCCCTTGTCCAAAGTGAAACCTTTAAATAAAAATACTGTCTTCCAGAATGGACTAGGAACCGTGGGCGTGGTGCAACTTACATCCATTGGGGTAAACAGAATTGCATTGAAGTAGCAGATAAGATGTCAGACGGCATAGTTGTAGGCCCACAGAAGAATGGAGGAGGCTCTAATTTTATATGCTTGTCGAAACTTCCCAAGACTGGGACTTCGTCACCTGACCAGAATAATGCTGCCATCCTTCAAAGTAATTTTGTAATTTTATCCATGCATTTAACTGATATTACATACCATACATACGTGAGTGGTCTCAAACTCAAATTGCGAGCATGCATGATATACCGTTTCACCAGACAAAATATTATACTAATAACAAAATATTTCGAATAAACATAAATGTCGCTCTAAGTATTTTTTAAAACATGCATAAACAATAATAAAAACACACACGAAAAAAAAAGTCAAATTTATATTTATTTTTAGACTAAAACCTAAACTTTGGTAACTGAAAGACAGGGTTGTTTGTTGGTTACTCTTTGCACTTCAAATATATTGGCAGTTAAATTCAGAGTGGCATTTATTCCAAATAATTCTAACATGTTTAATTAATCATTAAATAAATTACTTTATTAATTAAGGTGTAAACTACTTTACAACTAAAAAAATCTGATGTGTACACCACAGGACTTCCTAATACAGAATATTAAATTATACGCTCTTTTCCCGTGTTGAATTAACACTACTTCGTCGGTAAGACATAAACCCCAATAGAATAAATGCACTCTTTAAAATTCACTATATTTAGTTACACCATTGCAAGGCATTTTTAAAATTTCATAAAAATTATTCTTTTGATAAGCAGTAATTGGTAAGTAAAATGATGAAAAGCACAATTTGCAGTACATTGAAACGTTTCACAAGAGTAAAAACTATTTACACACAAAGTCTACCTCCTTTAGCAAAGTCCATAGCGCTTTGTAATTTGATAAGTAAAACTATAAGTAAAGAAAATGAGGTAAAAGCTTGGTTAAATAAGAAAAAAAAACGAAAATATATACATTACCACCGACTATTATGGTGAATAGTGCGGGGCCTCTTGTGGCGTTGTTCATTTGCGAAGTCATAATTTCCTAGTTTTTTTATGATATTCTTAGAGTCCCTGTCACATTTCATAAAAAAAGTTATGAGAAGCTTTTAGAATTTTAGAATCCGTGGGTTTAATTTCCAAGTCATTGTGAAAAATATTATAACTCAGAATGCACAACATTTATATCATTTCAAGAATTATCTAATCGTTGCCACATGTTCTATTCAAATACTATAATAAATCTAGAACGATGTATAAAAGAAATTAAGCAAACAAAACAAAAAAAGAAACAGTTTTTCACAGACTATTCTGTATTTCTCATTCAATTAATTCAGTTCTCACTTCGCGTCAAGGCAAAAATACATAAAAACTCAAAATATCTGTATTAAAAATTACGAAGTAAATCTTAAACACTTATTTCCTCAAAAAATTTCCAGAAAGGATTAAACATGATTTAATTCGCAATAATAAATGAAGGTATTATCTTTGTTGTTGCGAATCTTAGTCTCTCTAGATTGGTAATAAATTAGCTATTCTGCTGTTTCAAATGTAAACAAATATGTCCCTCATGTTATTTAAAAATTAGGCTTAACCGCACTTAAACAGCTTTTAAATTGTTGATAATTCTACAAATATTGCTTGCAGATTTCCTAAAAGCATAAAAACCTTAACCGGAAGATAAGAGCAACATAATTCAATCATTTTTAAAGTGAAAATTTCACAATTTACAAACACATGAGTAAAGAAACTGAGATCACTGAGCCGGATAATAGAGTGGATGTATATACAGTGTAGGCTGTATCCATTAATTAAAAGTAAACTTTCTGAATGAGATTTTAATAATAAGATCTATAATCTATTCGTTATAAAATTACATGAAATATTTTTTAAATACAGAGAAACTTTATTTTTAAGAAATTAATAATCAAAAAATGATAAACATTTTATTTCACAAAAGTCTTCGTACACTGAAATAATTTTTGATAAAATCAAAATTAGAATTATCGTTTGCCGCTTTTTTTTTTTTTTTTTTTAATTTTTGCGTTGTAGTGGCATTTAAAAAATCGTGTGCTTTAATTTTTTATTGTTTACTTCATAATATTCTATTTATTATTGAAAAATGCGTCGCAGTCGTAAAGAAATTAAAACCAGCATTCGAAAATTGATAACTTTACACCAATAGTAGTGGTAAATCAATTTGAAATATCGATAAATTAGTTAATTTATCCCATTTTACAGTGCAGTATGTGATAAAACGCGTTAAAGAAGAAAATCGGATTGAAAACAAGGTAAGAAAAGGTCGACCGAGAAAGTTAACTAAACGTGATGAGAGATTTATTATTAGAAAATTTGTGAAAAACCCATGTAGTGCTGTAAAAGTTTCTGCAGAATTTAATGCAAAGTTTTCTACTTCAATTTCGCCATAAACAGTTCGACGAGTTCTCAGAGAAGCTGGATTTCATGGGCGTTCTGCCCGTAAAAAAATTTTTGTTAGTGAGAAAAAGAGAAAACTTATTCTTTCATTCGCAAAATCAATGATAAATACACCCGAAAAGTACTGGAATAATGTCCTATTTGCTGACGAAAGCAAATTTAAAATTTTTGGTTCCGATTGTCGAATAACTGTATGGAGAAGAAAAAATGAGGAACTTCATTCTAAGAACTTAGTTGGAACAGTTAAGCATGGCGGTGGAGGTGTTCTTATGTGTGTGGGGGGGGGGGATATGACAGCATCAGGACTAGGTAATTTGGTATTTATTAATGGCATAATGAACCATTCTCTTTATTTAAATATTTTAAGAAACAATTTAAAATTATCAGCCCAAAATTTGGGTATTGGAAAGAACTTCTAATCATGATAACGATTCCTAAGTATACGGCTCTCAACGTTCGCCTGTAGTGTCTCTAAAAATTGTCCACAGGTTTTGAAAACACTACTTCAGTCGCCAGATTTAAACGCCATAGAACACATTTGGAAAGAGCTGAGGGTTAGAGTACGAAAACACGACATCAAAACGAAAAGCGAATTCAAATCAGCCATGATGGAAGAATGGATGAACATTGATACAGAAATTACAAAAAAAAAAAAAAAAAAACTAGTAAAATCTATTCCCAGACGTTTAAAAAGCTGTTGTGGATGCTAAAGTATATCCTACTAATATTAATTTAACCAAAAAAAATGAAAATATTTACTAATATGTCAAGATTTTTTCTGAAGTGTACGAAGACTTTTCTCAGATAAAATGTTTGTCATTTTTTTTATTATTAATTTCTTAAAAATAAAGTTTCGCTATATTTAAAAATGTTTCGTGTAATTTTGTTACAATAGATTATAGATCTTGTTATTAAAATCTCATTCAGAAAGTTTACTTTTAATTAATGGATAGAGCCCTATTTCAATGAAAATCATAAGTGTACGAACACTTTTGGGAGCTACTGTATATGAATAAATTTATATACGTTTGTTGCGGCCGATTGCAACCAAAATACGAGCTGCACATCTACATGATAGCAGTCCTATATACAAAATTTCAACGTTCTGAGGCTATTCGTTTTGGAGTTATGCGAGATACATACGTAAGTACGTACAGACAAGGCGAAAAATTCTCTTCAGAATTCATTTTAAAGCAGTTTTATAATTCTTTTGGAGGAAAAGAGTCTTTTATTCTGTACTTACGTACAGATTTCGAGCAAAAACATCGTTAAATTGCATTCGATAGCGGTCAAAACAGATATTTTCGTTGAAATATGCTGCCTGAAACTTTTCGAGATTACAATACTTCCTTTTTACTTCGTACAAGGAAGTAAAAATAAAACGCCAAATACAATTAAAACAATAACAAAAATTTTTTAGCAATTAAATTTAGAGTTTTTACACAAAAACAAAGAATTCGGCCAGCAGGCAACAAGGCAGATTTTTTGGTGCACAAAAATGAAAGTTTAATTTTGGTCCCACTCGGTAAAAAGACACTGAAGGTGCAGAAACTGAATTCACTATTCAAATAACTTTCAAATGTAAACAAATATGTTGCTATGGTAAACAAAACTTAAGCTTAGCCGCACTTAAACAGCTTTTAAATTATTGATAATTCTACAACTATTGTATGCAGATTAACAAAAGGCATAAATACCTTAACCGAAAGATAAGAACAACGTAATTCAGTCATTCTTAAAGCAAAAAGAATGCGCAAATTTACCAACACTTAAGAATAAAAAAATGAGCTCACGAAGCAGAATAACAGAGTAGGTGTATATATATATATATTATACATATACTTTTGGTGCGGTAGATTGCAACCAAAACGGGAGGTGCACAACTACATATTATAGCAGTCCTATATATCTCATCTGAATCCATTTTAAATCAGTTTTTTAATTTGTTTGCGAAAAAGGAGGCCTTTATTCTGTCCGTACGTACAGATATCAGGCAAAAACGTCGTTAAATAGCATTCGATAGGGGTCAAAATAGATATTTCCTTTGAAACACGGTACCCGGAATTTTCTGTAAGTACAGTACTTCCTTTACTTGGTATAAGGAAGTCCTGTAAATAAAATTGTAACATTATTTACATATAAATGCTCGTCATTTATATGTTTCTTTATTTTTTACTATAGCTTGCCACATGAGGGGCGTTTCTGTTCTGATTGTTTGAGAGAACGTTTGCTAGAAATTATATTCATCGCGGATCGCAAATGCTCATCGGTCAATAAATAGTGTTATTTTCTTACTAATTTGCAACTGTTAAAAAAACTCTCTGCATATAAATGTATTTTTAAACAAAGGGATTATTCTTAGTAAAAAAATTCGTAACTGAGCTTGTTTATTTTTTGTCAAGTAAGAATTTTTATTCGTACTTGTGATATAAGTCTTATTGAGGGACCGGTAGATATAGATTTTTTTAACTTTTGTTAACAAAACCTATATCTCCCATCTCTTAATAAAATTGATATTGCATTACAAATTAATTAGTTCCATTCAGAGATTTTCTGATGCGTTATTCATGTTCCTCTTTAATGGGAATGAAAAGAATGCAAACTCGAACTTCAAAAAATTAAAATCTTGAAATCTTTGCAGCATGTTATTTGCAAAAAATGCATAATTGAAATGTATTTGAGGGCCGCATAAAACTGCCAGTTTGAGACCACTGTCTTAAATTCATTTGTTTTAGAAAAGAAAATCTAATTTTATTTGTTTATTTAGCTTGCTGATACTGAAACATTCACTGATATTTTCATAGTACTTAAAGTTGCTAAATTTTGGCGCAGGCCATCGATATTATTAGTACACTTTGCCATCAACTGTGCAGTCACAGCAATGCAAAAATTTTAATAATAGCCCTCGATCTACTTAATTTTAGTTATGTATTAGATAAAAGCTCTAGAATAAAGGACTTTGCAAAGAGGAAATTACAATTGTCTCATGAACGCTTCTCTTTGCATTAGCAAGCCAAGAGGAAAAGGGCTTTATTTAAAGCTTGAAATGTAAATAAAATTAACTGCTTGTTGTCAACGGAAATCTGTTAATTATATATATATATATATGGTGCACACTGTTTACTTTACAGCAATGTGAAAAAAATCCATTATTGTGAGTACCATTTAAAGTCATTAATAATTTCTACATTTATGTTAAATTTTCAAGTTAAATCAATATATTTTACCTAACTTTGGACGATGTGGATTCTTGTTAGCTACACCATCGTATACCGAAAGAGGCAAAAGAAAAAAAAAATAGTATGTGCTATGTGGAGTAGACGCACTTAGCTGATCAAAGCTTAACAATGTTCAACAATGGCTTTTACCCTAAACATTGTGTGCAGTGAAGTTTTTCCTTAATTTCATGAGTTCATTTATATTGTTCGTTTATTCATTGTTGCGCAAAGTTACTATTTTGTGAAATAAAACCCTAAAATAATGACGGTATGCCATTTTATCATTTCCTAATGTAAACGGAGAAAGGCAGAATTCTTTAATCCAGAGTTGTTGGTTCATCATTCCGGTAGATCGCTACGTGTCTAGGTTGAAATGTCACCATTGTTCAATTGTTGTATAACCCAGTGTTTGCGAGAAAACAACAAAGTCGGATAAGAGCGAGTGGTAGCTTGAAATGAACTTCTTCCCAGGCTAATTATTGGATTACAAAATGGCAAATAAAGATTGGATGAATTTAGGTATCGCATACTAAATTCAGGAGGCTGAGTAATCGAAGACTATTGCAGGATATTGAGGTACAATTAATTAAGAATTACCAAAGACATTGCTAATTATTAATTAATTACCACTGTCGGCGACAGCGATTTCATTGAACCACTATTTCAAAGGTATCATGCTGTACATCGAGGCGACAGTCAAAGCTTAAATGGATGATTATCCTTGTAGAGTTACTCACTTTTATTCTGCTAAATTAAATATTGAGGAACCTAATTAAGTGTTAAGCGAATTAGCGCTTAGTTCAAAATAACAGGAATCATAAACTCAAGAAGGATTACTTACCCTTTATTTCAATCAAAATAAGATGAACAGTCGGTCCCTTTCTTCGGGCTTACAACAAACCTCCACTCGGGCTTTAACTCAAAAATAAGAAATAAGAACTAGATATATCTAACTAAGAGATTTAGTCAAAGCTAACAATTCTAACGTAGTTGGCCCGTAATCTAAACTAGCCGGCGAACTATCAAAAGGCACGTAATATATGGCCGAACGTAATAGCAGTTCGAGAGACTTAGCCCAAAGGCAAACGCGCGGTAGTCGGGATTCCTAGCTGTCTGTCTCTCTCTCGAAGTAAGTTGAACTTGCCTATAATTACTATCTCTTATTCATGTGAATTCAACGCGATTCTAAAAATTCATTCTGGTAGCGAGTTTTAAGTTGAGGAAGGAGTGATAGGAAAAATTAACTAAATTAAAATAACTATTTGAAAATTAAAATATATCTTACATTCCTCTTTAACGATAAGCTTACCTTCTGACTGTAAAGCAGTAATAGAGAATTAATCTAAAAAGAACTAAACAAAAACAGTTAATACGTTTTCGTGGAACAACATTGTACCGGTCTGCTTGTGAAATAATGCTGTGGGAGGCATAATGCATGGTAGGTGGACTCTTCTAGTCTTCGTTCCTGGTACATTCAGTACTTAGTGTTATGCTGATTGGTCAGTGTTATACTGATTGGTCAGTGTTATGCTGATTGGTCGGGAAGCCATTTTACGTGCCTAAGTGTTTTCAGCGGGGAAAACATTTTTTCAGATAAGTGTTAATGACGTCTTTAATAGCATACGAAGACGTCTAAGTGCATATAGTTCCACACCTATTGGTCATATTCCATGCTGAATAAATCGAAATGATGATCCGTATATTGTGTTTCCAATTTTCAATCTGCATATGTTTGACATATTTATATATCTTGTAAATTTCAAATTTCTACGATCTTTCCTTCTTGGTGGTTGCCATTTAAATATTGAGTAGTGTATTTTATGCAAACATGCTGTGCTCAAGATGTTTACCTTTTTACCAGGCGTTTAAAAATAGATACAAACTGTTCGTTGTCCAAAGAATCTTCTTCCAGAATTTCATCAGTTAATAAAGCTCTGTAATTTTGTAGCACGTGTTTCTGTAATTTTGGTAACCGATTAAGCACTATTGGCTTAAGGAGCCGAAGTAAAGCATAAGGCGCCGAATGCAGAGATCCTTGCGCTGAAAAATCAAATTTGCTCAGTACACTAGAAAACACTTTTTGGGATTAGTTTATTTTCTCCGTGAATTTATTTTTATTTTTTATCTTTACTTTAATTCTTGCTATGAATATATTTCTTTTTATCCTAACGTTTTTGATGGCATTCTTACAGAATGCACAGATGTAAGTAGTTTAATTCATTCTTCACAACTGCCACAGTTTTACCAAATGATATAATCTCCCCTTACATATACACTCATTGACCGTATACTTGTTAGGAATTGTTCAGGAATGATCGAAAACATATGTCATTTAGCCCCTAACGAGGACGTTGCCTGCATGCAGCACATTCAAGCTTCAGTCGTTGAGCGTGCGGGTGACTGAATCCTTTCCTCTGCAACGTGTTTATTGTAAATTGCTTTGGTGTGTTTATTTGTCTACTATCGTTTTTCTCTTTCAGCTGAAGACTATACGCTGTATCAGTTGCCATTTCTTTCCATTTTGACAGGTAATATTCATCATAGCATTTTTATTTACATTCTAAATAAGTCTCTGTATTCAAAATCACGCCAAACTGAAGTACCCCATCCCAGCCAGAGGGCTTCAATACATTTCACAAAAAGCGTACCAGGCTTGGTTTGGTCATTAATGACCCTTTACATTTTGTTCTTTTCAGTTGTATTTTTAACTCTGCTCAGTAGTACGTAACCTTTTTCCTTGTCTCGTTCCAGTTCCATACATCATAGCTCGTGGCGCAATCAAGTTTCGGCTCCTTAATTTTGGCGCATATCTCCACATGACTGTTTTTCCCCTCAAAGGAATAGCAGAAAAGTATTCACCCGGGAATATCTTATAAAAATGCAAAAACTCAATGATCAGCTACTAAGGCAAAAAATATTCCCTCCTACAGCGCAACTACGCTAAGTCTGGCATTGCGATTTCAAGAGAAAAGGGACCTTTCTTTACATTCTGTCATGTTTTAAAAGCATGAAAATTTCAAATTTATGCTGAGTCAGGGATCATTCGCTTTCCACTATCTGAATAGAAATTTCAAACTATATCGTATATGTCTACATAAAGCATTACATCTCACTCTCTCAAACAGATCAAACAGCAAACAGCTGAGGTAAGAAATGAATTTTAAATAGTATTTCTTGTACTTAATTGTAAGGTTGCATGAAACGTTCCTCCGAAGATGGCTTCTTGGCCATAATTTTTTATTAAACCTTATGAAATCTTAATCTATATTTTACGGGCATATTTATCACTATTGTAAAAGATTTTTTTTAAAAAAATGAAACTTAAGAATCCGTTTCATCCCCAGATACTTCTTTTGAGTTTCCCAAGGAGCAGAGATCTCGCTTCTATTGTTCCACTTGTCGACTGGGAGCAAGAGGAACAGTGCAGACATTCGTCGGAACATCTGTGTGTCCCAATGACTGGGAACTGATATACGAAGGAATACTTATGAGTGGATCTCAGGACAGCATCTCGACAATTTTTATTTGCTTAGACAAGGATCCTGTCATCGACAGGGATACAACGTCCTCCAGTCCGTTAGTTCCAGACTGGGCAACGAGCACAGATGATCAAGCCAAAAAGAAACTGCTATTCTCTTGCGTGGTTTGCACTAAATGAGAAAAAAGATGTTGAAGAATTTTAGAAATTACCACCTTTGTATTTCAGATCAACAAAATTATATTTCTGTTGTAAGAGCATCCTTTTTTTACTTGCTGAAATTCCTCGTTATTGAAACTGAATTGTTAGATTCTGTTTAGTGAAATGCATATTTTGCAAGTATTAAATTCGTTTATAAAACATACTTAAAGCTTCGTTTCTGTTTAATGTGATATGTGCAACTTTTCCCCCTAAAATATATAAGGGGATATTAGTAAAGATTTGCAAGGGCTTCATGATGATAGATGCATAAAATAATAGTGTAAAAATATCCACTTACACATTGACTTAAAAGTGAATTGCGAGCATCGCATTTATTACCCAGGATGAAAACAAACACCGTCAAATAATGCTAGATATTAAGAGCTGAAGCAAAATCAACTAACTTAGAGCAGATCAAAGAAAACTATGTTGGCTTAGCAATATATAGTGGTAAAATCAATATGCACAGATATTCCATTCCAGTGTCCAGAATTCAATTCAAAATGCAATCATGAATAGCTTAATCTTAACGTCTGCTGCTTTTTATTACCATTTAGTTATTAATTAAGTGATGTGGTGGATTCATTCGCCCCGTACAAAAGAGATGGCTTCTTAATGTTTGAGACCAAAATGCACTTTTGTCCTGCTTATTTCAGTCATCAAGCCTCGGTTCAATAAGTTTTCACTTCGGGTCTTGGCACTAGCGGATCTACAAAGGCACTAGCAGATCTTTATTGGTGCTATCTATCGGCTAACATTGCTATAATAAATCCAAAACAGCATTCTCCTGCAAAAATTGGTTACAATTGCCAAATATAAATGTCACTACGAAATTAATACGTAAATGAAGTCCAATGCCGGCAACAATATATCACTGGGATTGAATTAGAAATCCACTGTTCGTTTCGAATTTTAGGTGAGAAACAATACCAATACTAAGACAAGTAGAGACGGAGGGTGGGGACACCTGGTGACTACCGTAGGTAAAACAGATATTCTCCTTTCGCCTTCCACTTATCCAAAAGTACCAATTCTCTGAAGTCGAAGAAAACTACCCGAGGAGTTTCTTGTAAATTTAACAACACTGACTACGTGACCAGACAGGGTCATAGAGACAATGTGACTTGTGATAGAACATGATTTCATAAATACAAAAAAATACAATATATAAAAAAAAGATCAATAGAATTACAAATCCACATACGCTACACCTACGACTATAAGGTACCTACGCTACGTGAGGGTGCCAGGTGAGACCTCTGTCCCAAATGAAACCGAGGTGCTTCACCTGTTCTATGATTTGACATTCTTGGCCATTTAGCGAGGAGCATGGCTTCCTCTTTGGATTTGTGCTCTTCTTGAGGATCAGCGGAGCTTTCGACTCGGAGTTTGAGATGAGTCTGATAGTGCTGCACTTTTTTGCGAAGATATTGCAGATCTCTTTGCCGCTAGCCTCAAGTTCAGCCCGCGTGCTCTTCATAATGATAAATACAGCGGGATCTGAAAATGAAACAGAATAGAATTGAAAGCAAGACTCCCCAGGTCAGGGCACGAGCGTGACCTTGTAGGCATCATCGGACCTTCTGGCTTAGTAATTATTCCACTGTTTGTGAATTCTAGTAGTTGCCTTTCTCTGAGATAGCTGCAGAGGGTTTTTTTTTTTAATTTAAATTTACATCATAGACTCTTCAATTTTACCGTTTTCACAAATGATTTCATACCTACACAAAATTGCTTATATACTGTTGCGTGCGTACGGGTTCGTTAGGAATTGAATGCACAAGTCCGATGAAAAATGAGTAAGATTTATTATTATCACAAATAAATAAAACAAAATACTGAAATTTTCTCAGATATTCGTACAGTATTACAATATCTCACAGTAGTTATCTTTTAACTACTCAAACGTTCAACAGAACTTAATTCAAAACAGCTAAAGAAAGCTAATCCGCGAATTCGCTACAGTGAACAAGAGCAGTTTTCTAAACAAACTCTTAAAACAACAACAAACTAACTAAATAACAACTACGAATTGAGAGGTTTTCAATGCCGCTTATATAACCTTTTTAAATGCCTGAGAATTTTCTAGCACTTTCTCGAAATCAAAAAGAGATATTTATTTATTTATTAAAGGTTAAAATGCACGTTTTCTTGCATGTTTAATTTTTCCGGCTTAGCTTTTTCATAATATTCGTCACGCGCTGCACTGCACGGGGAATAAAACAATTTAATTTATAATTCAACTAACATTGGCTATTTAAATACGAAATCCGTAACAATATCTTTCAATCGGTAGCATGAAATTCTAGTAATTTCAACTACTCGAGATTTCTGGAAAGCAAAAGAGTAGAACTATGGTTACAGTTAACATATTAGTCAATTACATTTATTTAATTTAAATAAAAATTACAAGATATCTATTTATAAATGTACGTGCTCCGGTATTTTTAATTTTCCGCCGTAGCTTTCTTTTAAAATATGTCTCTGTTGCATTGGGCGGGAAAAATAAAACAACTTTAATTACAATTCTACTAAAAATATCTAAACACAAAATTCGTAACATTCTTATTCCCTCCCCAAGAACTGTACCTCCCAGGTAGTACAATCCCTTGACAGGAAGGTATACTTATAACTAAAGCATCAATGCAATAATTAACATTACAATACAATAACTAACAACATAAACAATAGTTGCAATAAATAACTTAAAATAAATCAAATAAAAATCAATAAATGAGGGCATAAATTTACAAATTTAGAAACAAAAAGCACCATGGTCTTATACTATTTACATAATATATGCAACGTACTAAGGCCATGGTAAGGAGCTAGTCTGTCGTAATGAACGACTTTGGTCTTAGAATTCGATGACTTACGGATCCGAACCACGATGGTGTTCAGCCTGCTTAGGACTATGTAAGGACCATTCCAAGGTGACTGCAGTTTAAGACAGACTCTTTCCTGTCGAGTAGGATTCTACAACCACACCTTGTCTCCTTCGTTGAATCGATGTCCAGTAGCTCTCGTGTCGTATCGTGTCTTCATCTTCTCCGTCGCCAAGTTCACTAGCTCTCGTGCAAAATTGTGCATCACTTCAAACGGGGCCTAAAGATCTTAGATATACTTCTCAGACGATCAAGTTGCATCTAGAGGGCGATAGCAAGGCAGACGAAGATCACGACTGAAGAGCATCTGAGATGAGGAATATATCGTAAACATATCGTAAACAGATATCGTAAAAAATATGATATCGTAAACAGCACTACGATAACCCAGAAAAATAGAGGTAACTTCTTGTCCTAGCCCTGTTGGTTTCTGGAAACCACTAACGATAGGTTATTAACAATAATTCGATAAACCTCCCTACCATGTAGTCTGATTGATGACTTAAAAGCGCCGTTTGGATATTGTCAATGCCGGGTAACTTGCAGAGTTCTTTTATTAAATACGAGGTAAAATTTCTCCCTTGATCGGAATGTAACTGAAGAGGCACTCCGAACTTGAAAATTCAATGCCGGGGGACCTCTGCTACTGTGACAGTTTCTTGATCAGAAATAGGATACGCTTCAGGCAACTTTGTGAAGTAATCAATGACAACAAGGATGTAATTGTTGCCATCACCTATTCGTGGCAGAGGTCCCAAGATGTGAAAGGCGACACGTTCAAAATTTGCACGTACATTTTAAAGTTGCAGCTTGCCTCTGCTGCCTTTCTTTGGTCCTTTCCAGCCTTCAAAGGCATCATCAGTTATCGCTCCAGGTCTGCGATATTTTGTGGTTCCCGAATCTGGCAGCCTACCATGTCCCAAACATGCTCGATTGGTGAAAGGTCTGGTGGCCTTGCTGGCCAAGGAAGAGTATTAACTGCAAGGAGACAGTCCAGAGATATGCGAGTGGTATGTGGCCTGGCATTATGTTGTTGGAAAATGGACGCAGGGGGACGTACCATGAAGGGTAATGCAACCGGCCGCAGGGTGATATCAACATATCGTTGAGCTGTTGAAGATGACAAAAGATGACCTGCTGTCATAAGAAATAACGCGCCAGACCAGCACACCTGGGGTTATGACTGTAAATCTTTGTAAAACAAAGGCTGGCCCCGTCCTCTCCAGACACGAATGCGGTGGTCATCTGCTTCAAGAGTGAAGCGGGATTCATCGCTGAACACTGTACGATACCAGTCGGACGGCAGCCATGATGATCGGCTGCGACACCACTCTAAACTACTCCGCCGATGTTGTGGGGTCAAAGGCAAAAGTCTTAAAAGCCTCTGTGAGCGTAACCTGGAGGTCCCTGGAGCTGCATCATCCGCCATACTTTTTTTCGTTTTCCAAACTCAAAACTGTGATCAAAGGAACACGCTTCGTGGATGTCGAAGACATCAAGAAGAACGTGACGTTGACATTAAAGAGCCTTTCGAAAGAGGACTTTAAACGTTGTTTCCACAACTTATACAGCCGAGAACAGAACTGTATTACTGCAGATGAGGATTACTTCGAAACATATTAAAAGATTATGTTTTTCACATTATCTCTTCTGATGTTTTTAGAGCAGTCCTGGAAATTAATAGCCACACCCTTGTATATACATAGCGCTAGGATAACATAAATCTCAGCGATGGATAGTGTACACGGACTCGTAAAAACAGAAGGCAAAAGTTCTCTTTTTGCAGTCACGTAGAGATGAGATTCTTATCGCGCATACGCGAGGAGGAGAACTGGAGGCATTGAAGAAATGTGGGGGGAGGAAGGTAGCCCCACATACTAAATGTTAACAATAACATAAAACACACAATAAAGTAGATTTATAATAAAAAAAATCTCGCGCAGTAATGTTATAAACCTGACATTTCAACTCAGTTAAAATATAATTTTAATTTTCTTCAAATCAGAAACATAACTATCTTTTGTTTCTACAAGGAGGCCTACCCAATATTACGTCATAAAAAGGCGAGTCAATTTAAGACAAGTAAACAGCAGCTTAATTTATGCGGCGTCTTCTAGAACTGAGCTGAAATTAAACCACTTCTTCAAAGAATTAGTTTCTACATTTAAAATAATGTCTATCTTTCTAAATCCTAGAATCTCAAAGCAGTAATACGATTCTCAAAGATATTACGACAAAAAGTAAGGATTAGTTGAAGCAAAGTTGTTTGTTTATCTTTGCTGACACAAAAATGTGAAATCTGCGTACGGAAGTAACTTAAAATAGCAATACAGAAACATTTCAGTTTTTCCTGCTTTCTCTACGTCTTAAAATGTCTTAATCAGAATGCGCAGAACAATATTATACTGTTTTCGTTAAAGTAGGGATAACAACAATGAAAAAGGAGGGTAAAAGCAGCAGTGGTTTGTTTTAATCAAATAAGAGCAAATATTCTTAAATAATAATAAAAAAAAAACTTTCTTGGTAATTCTTTCATTATTATTTGTTGGTGGTTTGGTTTCATTATGATATTAGCTAAAAACCTGTATTTATAATGTATCTATAATTCCGCAAACATTCGACCAATTTTCTCAGATTGCTTTCGCACGTTCTTAAAGTTGGAAATTCTTTTTTGTAACTTGTTCAGTTGAGAGATCGTCAGTACTGTATATAACATGTGAAAATTCTTTCATTGCAAATATTTCTGAACATATCCCTATAAGGCAAAGTTTTCATTTCATCAATTCTTTTACCATAATTCTTCGAATTCGTAATTTGCTTGTTTAAATATTCTAATAGGGCTAAAAAGCCTAAAATCATTTATTTTATATACCATTCTTCTAGGTAATTCAACCAATTACCTAGAAGTCACGTGTCAACCAGTTGTTTGTCGGTTTTATATAATATCCGGCGGAAAAACCGGTGTTACTACTTCTCATTCCTTTGTTGCGTGCGTTCCAGTTAGCTTCGCGTACTCGTTAAAAGTAGTTACTTATATCATCAAATATTTCATCTGAATAAGTAAGTTTTTCTTAATACTTTGCTGTACTACTATTTTAATTTTGCAACATATATATTTAGTTAGAATTTAAATGTTAAGTGAATTGCTTTCTTGTGGAAGACCGGCCGGCGACTAGGAATTTTTAACCTGCTGGAAGTAGTATAGCGAAATTTACCATTAGAATGCAACGAATTGCTTTTGTTTAAATAATTCTTTAATTTGTGTATTGAATCTTTTTAATACTGTATTGCAGTAAAATAATTTTTTTTTTACTAGCTATGGCTCCCGATCTGACTAAACCTGCACCAAATTTCGAAGGAACTGCTGTCGTCAACGGAGCTTTTAAAACCTTAAAATTGCAAGATTACAAGGGCAAATATGTTGTTTTATTTTTCTATCCTTTGGATTTGTAAGTATCAAGAATGAAATTTCATTTTAGGCTTTGTCTTAATTAGTTATTTAACATAATTCCAACTTTTGTTTTATGCTTTGTTTTAATTAGTTGTTTAACATAATTCCAACTTTTGTCTTTTTCTAGCACATTTGTCTGCCCCACTGAGATCATCGCATTTTCAGACCGAGCAGATGAATTCCGTAAAATAAATTGTGAAGTTATTGCATGTTCAACTGATAGCCACTTTTCACATTTAGCCTGGTAAGTGTACATCGTTAATGAAAATTAATGTTGTTTTTTCTTTTAGGTGTAGTGAGAAGTTGTCTTAAAAGTTTTGAGTGCTGCTGATTTACCAGTTATGGCAATGTAAATGAAATGCATGTAAAGTCACAAGTTAATATAAATTTTAAGGGAAAAAAAATCGTGACAGTAAAATAAATCATATGGTTAGATACACTGTATGTTAGTTCTGATAAAGTCGAAATATATTTCATATTAGTCTAAAAACTATATAATGGTTATTTATTAATATATCTGTGTATTTAACTTTCTACAAGTCTGGTTAGTGCAGGGAGAGGGGAATTCTGCTCATCAAAAGTTAAGAGATCCTGTAATTATGCAAGTTTTGTTGCGAAGATTATAGTAATAGAATTTACATTATTTTTTTATGTGTACCTCACTTTTACAAAATGGGTAATTTAAGTTCATGAATTAGTTGGGCATTAACTTTTTTTTCTGAAGTCGTTCTTTAAGGAACTATGAGAAATTGGCTGGTTAAGTAATTATAAAAATATATATGTGTATATTTAACTGTGTTCATTTAAATTTTAAAGCTATAAATATCAAATTTAGTATTTAACTATCTTTTTGAATTTCTGATGAGTTAATATTTTGTCTAATTAGTTTAATGTATTAATTTCTCTAAAGGAAATTTGGGAAGTAGGTCTGATTGTAAAACTGTTTCTCTTCAAAATTTGTTAATGTAGATCTGCTCTTTGTAACTTTTTTTGATTTTCTGGGGATTGCTAATATTATCTCAGGGATTTTGAATTTTGTTACTGAAAGTTCTTTACAACAGTAGCTCTTTATTTAAATTTTAATACAGTTTATTCTTCCCTCGAAATTGTTATAGTAACTTTAGAATTGTTCTTAGCACAGAATAATTTTGCATATTTCTAATTTTATTATGTAGGAAGAAGTCATGCCATAAGTTAACTTGAAAATTCTAATATGTAAAATTAAATATAAAAAATAACATTGAATAAAATCAGATTTTTGGGTTTTTTTTTTTTTTTTTTTTTTTTCCTCAAATGTTAATTAAGCCTCTCGAATAATAACATGATCAGTTATATTCCTAGAAAAAATTAATATCTAATTGGCAAGTTTGAAAATTACTTGGTACTTTTTAACTCGAGGTAATGTCCTATTACTGAATATTAACAGTTCAACTTGGATAAATGGGCTATCTGTGGAGATTTATATATATATATATAGTTTTCTACATATGATGTCGATATGAGGCAATTTTCTTCAGAAAGTTATAAGGAAATATACAAGGGCATAAGGGAAAGGCATCCATTTCCTTATACCCTTGTATATTTCCTTATTTTCAAATACCCAAACCTAAACAAATTTCAGAAAGATAATACAGCTCATGAGTCAGTGCATAATTTATAATTTTTTATCCTGTGAATCCATATTGGGAAATAATGTAATTTAAGCCCCTTTCTTTGAGTGTGAAAACTAGCTTGTTTCTTATCCCACAATAAAATTACATTGTTAAATTCAGTTTTCAGAGCATTTAAAGCTTAATATTTGCTGTATTAAATTTATTCATTCAATAGTAACCAAAGTGATGAGACAAGTAAACATTGGTAAAAGCTGTTTCCCAGGGCCTTTGGTTTTTACAGAAGCCAATGCAATGGGTGCAGTTGCACCGAATATTAGAATTTAGGAACAGCAAAATTGAGGAATAAACTAGGTAGCAGAATTTGGAATTTGCACTGGATAATAATAAACCTAGTGTTGGCTGTTTTGAAGGCATATTTGTTAAGTGTAATGGCACAGACCAGTTTTTTTAGAATGTCCTTTGTAAAAGGCATTCTTTCTGTCCAACAGGTAAAAGTAATATACTTTTTTCTGTTAAAAAAAAAAATACAGTATTAATTCCTCACTTTTCTACCCCCTAATTTTATTTGAAATTCGATAGAGGAAAATTATGGTTTCTGAAAAACATGACTGTTATAAAATAAAAGTTTGAGCATAAACTACAGGTAACTTGTAATATTATTTCTTTAAAAGTACTTTCCAGTAAGAATGCATAGTAATATTGCAATATCCAAGATAACCTTTTCTCTTTCTTCTTGCTTGTAACTTAATCTTATTGAGGTCTGTGTTGCACCTTAATTCTCAAATCGTCCATAAATATAGAATGTGAAGCTGACTTCTCGAAATAAGACTTGGCAGAAAAAAATATTCTATAATCTTCTGAGACATGCAAATCTTTTAAAAGAAAATGCTACTATGTTATTGGGTTTTAAGATTGTAGTAATTCAAATGAAACCTAATCTTTAATCTCAGTTAAGAATTGGCTTTTTTTTCCCCCAACTTGCCAAACCTTGTAATCATTTTGCCTTCATACTTACAAAAGTTTCAGTGCAGTTTTACAGTTTTTCTGAATGTTTGTTTATTTATCATAAGTAAAATGAAAGTAATCGGAGGGAAAAAGGTAAAAAAATTGAATACTCCTTGATGTCGTAATAATGTAATCAGTACAACTTATTCTTTTTTGGGGGAAAAGGAGAATTTAAATTTTAAAATGCAAAATAAAAACAAAATGTTTTTGCTATATGCCAGCGGCATGCTTCAAGATAAAAATCAAGAAAAATTCCTTTATGTATTTTGTCAAATTAACATTTTATTCTTCACTAAAATGAACAGTTTTTTATACAGTTGTATTCATAAAGTAGTACCAGTTAAGTGTTTAATAAGTAACACCAATTTAAAATACATAAAAATATTTTCATTATCTAAGATCTGAAAGGTTTTCTCCCTCCCTAAATTCCTGCACATTGTGTCAAAAGGAAAAAAAAAAAAAAAAAAAAAAAAGTATGTGAAATAGTTGATAAGAGCATTTATTTTGTGTAGGATAAACACCCCTCGTAAAGACGGTGGTCTTGGCAAAATGAACATTCCTCTCTTAGCTGATAAAAATGCTAAGATATCAAAGGATTATGGTGTTTACAAAGAAGATGCCGGATTGTCATTCAGGTAAAATTTTTTGAAATACTCTTTTAATTTGAAGCTCTTATTTATATAAAATTTTGGAAGTAGTTCACCTTAAATTTTTGATCATGCAATTGAATAGTTTGGTATTTTCATGTATAATACATCCGTGTTTTCATTAAAATTGAATAATAAACTACTGCAGGGATTTAAATAATTCAGTTTGTATTTATAGATACACATAATATGGCTACAAAGTACCCTAAATTTAAAAAATAAATAGTTCATAAAACTAGAGGTATAGAATTTGTCTGTTTCTCCCAGTGTTTATGATTGCCTAGTTAGGAACTTTATGCTATACTTTATTATACTTTTGCATATTATGGATAAAGTTTGGTCTGTTGGTGGGTAAGGCCAATAATATGGTATTTTGCCCTCAATTTTCAGTTGGGGCAAACCTGGTTGAAGGCAGAAAATATCGTTTTTATTTCCATACAATGTAAATATGAGCCAGTGTTTCTTAATCATCTAGAGGTGCATCCTTTCTCTTAGGCAGAAAGCTGTTAATTTATGCTTATTTCCAATTGCTAATTTAAATATATATGTTGAATATGGGGGACTACTTTCCAGTTGTCCCCACCCCTTGAAAAGTTCATTTGTAACTGAATTGGCCTGATTATCTTTACTTCTTTTAAGTACTGTTTGTTCTGTTTATAAATAATAAAAGCATTTTATGGCAAAATAATTTACATTAACATTTTTACTGTTGTTGGATGCTGTTTAATAAAATGACAGTTAAATAAAGTATAAATTTGCATGTACCGAAATGTGTGTGTGTATTTGTCATGTATCCTCAAAAATAGGGTACTTTAGTTGAAACCAGTGGTTTGAATAATAAAACCTCAAAATAAATGTTAAATTCATAATAAATAAATGGCTGTGCAATGTACCATTAATTTTGAAGAACTAAAAATTCTTGTGCTGTAACTATTAAGAGAAGACGGGTAAATTTCTGTATTGTCTGAATAATTAGTATATGCATAATTATCTAATTCAGAAGTCAAACAACAAAAATTAGCATTAATTTACAAAATTTTCACAGGACTAGTTTCGATGGTTTTACCGAACCATCATCTTCAGCTGCAAAACCGCAAATGAACAAGATAGGAAATAATGTCTAGATAAGATAAGAAAAAGCAAGTGGCGCCATCTGTTGGCGAAACCAGAACTAAAACATAATTTCTCTAAAAGCCGAAGGCAAATTTGGATTGGAATTAGGATCGTTAACTAGAACAAAGATTTTTATGAATGTGAAATGCCTCTAGAAAATCCAGTTCTCCAATGGAAGATGTTTTTTGAATAATTTTGGCAGCAGAAAAATTGAAATTGTGATTTTTGGACCAACAATGTTGAGCAACAGAAGACTTCTGTGTTTCCTTTTTTCTAACATATGCCTCATGTTCTTTGACGCAAAATTTTAAGGCTGTCTTAATTTGGCCAATGTAAATTAAACCGCACTGGCAAGGAATCCTATAAATACCCCAGGAATTCATATCCGGAATGGGGTCCTTGAGTATAGAAGTTGGAATTTTATTGATGGGAGAGTAAACAACCCGAAAGTTAAATTTCTGCAAAATGTGTGCAACTTTATAGCTAATTGATGGAAAGAAGGGAATGACAACAGAATTTTTATAATTTCCTAAAATAAGAGTGTGGCTTTTAGTGTGTTGAGATGAGAATTTTTTAACTGGCTTGATTAATAATGTTGGGTGAAAAGCCCCTGTCAATAGCTATTGCTTTTAAATAATTTATTTTTCATCAAGGGCTAGTTTGGAGGAGCCAACTTGAAGAGCACGGAAAACATAGGAATAAAATGAAGCTAACTTTTGTTTAGTCGGATGACATGATTTAAAGTGTGGTGGAAGGCAAACCGATGAAGGTTTACGGTAAACTGTAGTACTGAAGTTGGATGTGTTACGTGTGACCAGAATGTCGAGAAACGGAAGAGAATTGCAAGTCTCAAGTTCAAAAGTGAACTGAATAGCAGGATCAATAGAATTCATTGTTGAAAGAACTCTATTTAAATCATCTTTATTACCTTCAAACAGGGTAAAAGTATCGTCTACGTAGCGGAACCATGCCGGGAAGTTGCTTGAAATGATTTGCGAAGATTTGATCGGCAAATCATTTCAAGCAACTTAAAACATTCGCTTATCCCATCTGTTGCGAATTGTGCCAGATTATATGCTCTTCCCAAAATTCATAAAAGTGGTATTCCTTTCCGCCCTATTGTATCAAATTTAGGTACTGCCTCGTATCCATTAGCTAAATATTTAGTTTCTAGATTTTCCACTCTATTAGACAATAACATTTACACCATAAAAAATTCAATAGATTTTGTAAAAAAGGTTAAAAACATTTCTCCTTGTAATTTACTCATGGTTTCTTTTGATGTAAAATCATTATTCACCAATGTCCCAGTGGAGGGTGCATTAAGATGTCTAGAAACCAGACTTCGTGAATTTCATTTCTCTTGCATCGAAATTGATGAGCTAATTTCTCTCACTCAACTGTGTTTGAAACAAACACATTTTGTTTTCCAAAATAAATATTACAAGCAAACTGAGGGATTAGCCATGGGAAGCCCCCTCAGTCCCATCCTGGCTGATATCTACATGCATTATTATGAATCAAAATTGTTTGAAACTTTAAACTTCCCGGCATGGTTCCGCTACATAGACGATACTTTTACCCTGTTTGAAGGTAATAAAGATGATTTAAATAGAGTTCTTTCAACAATGAATTCTATTGATCCTGCTATTCAGTTCACTTTTGAAACTTGAGACTTGCAATTCTCTTCCGTTTCTCGACATTCTGGTCACACGTAACACATCCAACTTCAGTACTACAGTTTACCGTAAACCTTCATCGGTTTGCCTTCCACCACAACTTTAAATCATGTCATCCAACTAAACAAAACGTTAGCTTCATTTTATTCCTATGTTTTCCGTGCTCTTCAAGTTTGCTCCTCCAAACTAGCCCTTGATGAAGAACTAAATTATTTAAAAGCAATAGCTATTGACAGGGGCTTTTCACCCAACATTATTAATCAAGCAGTTAAAAAATTCTCATCTCAACACACTAAAAGCCACACTCTTATTTTAGGAGATTATAAAAATTCTGTTGTCATTCCCCTTCTTTCCATCAATTAGCTATAAAGTTGCACATATTTTGCAGAAATTTAACTTTCGGGTTGTTTACTCTCCCATCAATAAAATTCCAACTTCTATACTCAAGGACCCCATTCCGGTTATGAATTCCTGGGGTATTTATAGGATTCCTTGCCAGTGCGGTTTAATTTACATTGGCCAAACTAAGAGAGCCTTAAAATTTCGCGTCAAAGAACATGAGGCATATGTTAGAAAAAAGGAAACGCAGAAGTCTTCTGTTGCTCAACATTGTTGGTCCGAAAATAACACTTTCAATTTTTCTGCTGCCAAAATTATTCAAAAAACATCTTCCATTGGAGAACTGGATTTTCTAGAGGCATTTCACATTCATAAAAATCTTTCTGTTCTAGTTAACGATCCTAATTCCAATCCAAATTTGCCTTCGGCTTTTAGAGAAATTATGTTTTAGTTTTGGTTTCGCCAACAGATGGCGCCACTTGCTTTTTCTTATCTTATCTAAACATTATTTCCTATCTTGTTCATTTGCGGTTTTGCAGCTGAAGATGATGGTTCGGTAAAACCATCGAAACTAGTCCTGTGAAAATTTTGTAAATTAACGCTGATTTTTGTTGTTTGACTTCTGAATTAGTATTTATTCGGCGTGTTATTGTGGCATAATTATCTATTATTAATTGGATGGTAAAATCTCCATTACGCTTTGGTGTTAAATGACTAAATCTGGAAATTAAAGAACAACAGTCTTAATTTTATATAATAAAAATTATTAAATTGGTTTTATTTGATGCTAATTTATATTTCAGCATTTAGTTATTTCTTAAAGCGTTAAGGAAATGGTAAAGTACAAATTATCTCAAGTAATAAATTTTAGGTAACAGTAAATGAATAAAAATTGCTGCTTTTAAGGCAGAGGGTTAGCATGTTTGTTATTTTTCGGAGTGTTTTTACCAACCTTGGATTAAGTTTTTAAAAAAATAGCTGTTTTTCTTTTTAGTGAACTATTCGCTGTTTTACTTACAGATGCAGTTTTGTAGTGCTTTTAAGTGTCATTGTCATTCAGAAGTAGTGAAGTTTAAAAATTTTAAATATCGTAGGAATAATACAATGTACGTCCAGAAAGTAAGTTCTGTTTGGTAATAAAAGTTAATTGTGTACAGCTACAGAAAAGTTATTTATTGCACAAAATTCAACAACTTTTAAACTACTTTTCCACATAACTGCCGAAATATTGCAGGCATTTCTCATAGCGTGGCACAAGTTTTTGTAAACCTTCTTCATAGAAATTTGCCACCTGTGTCTTCAACCAGTTGGAAACAGTTTCTTTCAACTTGTCGTCATTGTTGAAGTGTTGACCGCCAAGGAAAGACTTAAGATGTAAGAACAGATGAAAGTTGCTAGGAGCGAGGTCAGGACTGTACGGAGGATGGTCAAACACATCCCAGCCAAATCCCTGTAGGAGGTTTTTCGTCACATTTGCAGTGGGTGGTCGTGCGCTGTCGTGAAGAAAAACACCTTTTGACAGCAATCCTCGGCGCTTATTCTGTATTGCGCGGCGCAATTTCCGAAGTGTCTCGCGATAAGCATCTGCTCTGATTGTTTGACCACGCGGTAAGAAATCAATGAGTAAGATGCCTTTCCAGTCCCATAACGCTGTGCACATCATTTTTCGAGGTGTCAAGATTTGCTTTGGCTTAACCTTTGCTGGGGATGAATTGTGCCTCCATTTCATTGATTGCCGCTTACTTTCAGGGGTGTCGTAAGAAACCCAAGTTTCATCTCCTGTGATTATCTGTGTCAGAAATTCTTCGCCGCTTTCAGCATAACGGGTCAAAAACTGAAGTGCACTACCCATCCGTTTTGTTTTGTGTTGCTCAGTAAGAATCTTTGGTACCCAACGTGAGCAAAGTTTACGAAATTTCAGTTTTTCGGTAACAATTTCATACGTTAGTGATCGTGAAATTTGGGGAAATTCCATAGCGAGAGCACTAATTGTAAACCTTCGGTTTTCATGGATCTTGTCATCAATCGCGTGAACCAGTTCTTCTGTAACCAAAGATGTACGCCCACTTCGTTCTTCATCGTGCACATCACTACATCCGTCATTGAACTTTCGGACCCATCTTCTCACCATTGAATCACTCATCGCTTTTGGTCTGTAAACATCGCAAATTTGCCGATAAATTTCACTAGGTTTCACTTTCCTCGCATTCAGAAAACGAATCACATATCTGATTTCACAAGCGGCGGGATTTTCAATCAACACCGACATTGTAAACAAGCACAACAAAGCATACCTGACTGACAGCGATCTTCAAATGGCGCCCATTTCTTCTCCTTGATATAGAGTGTCTACTGTGCATGTGCTGAACTGTGATCGCAGAGCTGCAGCGGAAATAAATTGAAACGGAATTTACTTTCTGGACGTGCCTCGTATTTGTAATGAATGAGATACTGTTATAAATTTCTTGTTGAGAATTAATGTCCTTCCTTCTAGTCCAAAGTGTGAGCACTTGGTATTTCTATTTAATGGTTTAAGGTTTATTTTATTTTTTTTTTTTTGTGTTGTTTGTTTGTTTGTTTGTTTCCTGTGTAGTAAATTCAGTTACTGATATTTAATCTGACTAGTTGATTCTGTACAATCAAGGAAATTAAAAGTTGAGTTTCAGTAGGAATTTTCTAAAACTTATTTCATGACATATTTTATATAAAAAAAAATGTCGACTTTTGCTGTATTATTTTTATTGCTAAAATATTTCGGAGCTTAAAGCTGCACTAACCAAGTTAAGTATATATTTTCGTACTTTGGCTTAAAAAAATTGCATTGCCTTAACTTTTTTATTTTTAGGGGGCTGTTTATCATTGATGGTGAAGGGAAATTACGACAGATAACCATTAATGATTTACCTGTTGGCAGATCAGTAGATGAAACTTTGCGTCTTGTACAGGCTTTCCAATATACAGACAAACATGGAGAAGGTTTGTTAGAAAGATCTTTTCTATTTTTATTTATTTGTGATAGATTAATTTCTTTATAGATTAATTTCTTTTAATTAATACTACAAATTTTATACCCCATTTTTAAGAGGTTTATATTTATAATTTAGTTTTTAATGTTAAGCAGTATGTATAATTTTTATGATATATAATATTATAATTTTTCTATTTTCGTAACTTCTTTTTTAAGCCTCTTAGAATAGTAAAACTAATATAAAGCATAATTTGCTAAAATTAAAAGTTTAGTACTGAAAGCTATTAGATTGTACTCCAGTACAAAGTCTGTAATCTGGACTCGTCAGGACTTCGGCGATTCCGGATTAGGGGTTTTTCCGGATTATAGATCATCAATTTAAATCTGGTAAGATGGCATGCAGAAATTGTAAAAATAGGAAACCGTAATTTATGAAATAAAGAGCAATTATGATCTAAAGGGTATCGAAATTTACAAAAAAAGCTAAATATTTGTTTACTTTATTAAACATTTCTTTCAATGTAAGTTCTTTAAGTTGTTTCGTTTTTTGTGCTAATACTTTCTCTTTAATTCTGTAAACAGACATAATTTCTTGTTCAGTTACAAAGTTCCATTGTTCAAGTCCTGTAATTGCTGTCTCAATACAGACTAACTTGTCAATCGAAATTTTTTCCTTTTTCAATAACCTCTCTGTCACTCTCTTCACTATCGGAAGCGTGCATGAGTAAACGCTTCATGCGCATGCGTAGCGGACGTGCATTAAACGCATTACACACATGCGTAAGTTTATGGCTTTGAGTTCCGGATAATGGATGTCCGGACTTTGTACTGTATTATGTCTTTTTCTATCAAATAAAGTCGGCAGTTCTATTATAGTACAAATACTGAATATTTACATTCTTAAATTTATTATAGTCTGTCCTGCTGGTTGGAAACCTGGTGATGATACAATGAAGCCTGATCCCGAGGGAAGCAAAGAATACTTCAAACGTCACTAATAACATGTTTAATAATTTTTGCTGTTTGCATATAATAGAAAAATTACAATGCAGTAACATATTTTGAATGTATATTGTATAACTTGGTTATAAGATTAACTGTTAGCTCCATTAGATTTAATTTTTGTAAAGGAAGAAACTGCCATATCTACCAGGAAGCTGATATTTGTAATTTTTTGAGTTGTATGCAATAAAATATCTGTTGCATTTATTTTGTGTGTCACTGATGAATATGAAGATGTCTCAACCACGGCTCTTTAACAGCATTTGCAAAAATAAACATTCACAGCAGCTTAACAAGAAAACTGATATATTGCTGTTGTTTAAAAATTTAGTTTTACTGTAAATACTAAAATGTTAGCTTATGGTAACATTTTGCTAGTATACCTTTTTATGGAAAATTTACTTCTGCTTCAGTAAAATAAGAGTATTGTGCCATATTTCGGAAACAAGTGAAGAATTCTTTTTTTTTTTTTTTTTTTTTTTCCAAAGTAGTCGTAATTAAAGAAAATGTCCAAGAGTAGGCTAATAAATTTCGAGTATTCCCCAGACTTGCACTTTTTTTCAAAAGGCCTTTATGAAAGACTCTTGCGGGAAATTCCTTATCCATCTTTGAACTCCTGTTCATGACAATATACTCTCTTTGCAGCAAAGCAAGTTGGCTGATTTCAATGACCAGCATGGTCATTATGTTTTAATAAAACTGTTTGTTTGCAAACATGATAAATTACTGGGGTTTTAAGTAAAGTATCCTGCATTACCTAACATATTCTTCTAATGTTATTTTCCAGAGCTCTCCAAATGATATAGGGTTTAACTCTTTGGGTAAGTTAGCCCAAAAACCTAACCTAGATTTTTTCTAAGATATATTTAGTATCTTAACCACCTGCATAGAAATGATAAATGGTTTTGCGGTAATTAAGATATTATTGAAATTGGGCTCTAACTTTCCAGATGACATGATTATATATGCAACTTACTGACTACATTAATTTTGATTATGGTATTTATGTAATAATGCTTTTTTTAGTTAAGATTTAAAAAAGCAGGGAGTTTGTGGTGGTAAATAATATGATCAAGGGGTTGATAGCCCAAAAATTCAAGGATTCAAATGGTGTAATCAAGATCCCATCGATTCCAAAAAATTTTATTAATAAAATGGATAATTAGCTGTTTTTATACAAAATTATATAGAGTAGTAAAGAAATTGCATGAAATATTCACAAAATTTATTTAATGTTTTTAACTTCATATTTCTTTTAAATATATAAAATTTATGTAATAAATAGAATACAAAAAGTAAAATGTACCGCAATTGCTTGCAGCCATTCGTGGATTAAATACATAATTTTTTAAGTTTTGTTTTCAATTTGTTTTACTGAGACTTTAAGGAAGACACTTTAAGTCTTATTGAAGCTGGAATGATGATTTTCATTTTCCATTCTAGAAATGGCTTACTTGTATTGAGAAACTCCTTGATAAATTAAATGTGAAAGCCATTGAAAGATTTTAATATTTGCTTCCAAGGTTTCATAGAACAGCTGATCTTTTATCTATCGCAACTTGATATGATTTAAGAAGAGTCTGTTTCATTGAAGGAGAATGTTGAAGCACAGGTCTCGAACAAAACACAAGGGTGCACTGTTTTAAAAATCAACCAAGAGAAATATCCCGAAATAAAAGTTGTTACCAAACTAACAATCATTTTTACCTCTTCTTATCTAGCAGAAGTCAATTATTTATTACCAAAAGCAAATTGCAAGTTTCTGCCAAATATTAAAACATTGGGCATTATTAAAATCAACTTTTATTCATGTCCTTAGTCTAATTGTTATCTTTTGTTATTTATGTGCAATTATTTGTACTATGATAGTGTTGCATGCTGTATAGTCTAGAGACAAATGTAAGAAGGGGGAGCATTCTTATAAAAGTGTTGGGAGTCTGTGTTTTAAAGGGTTTATCCAGATGGAAGAAAGTTGAAAAACATTCTCTGCATGAGTGCGTTTGAAAGTTATCTAGAGAATAGCAAGTTTTGGGTTTTTATTAATCTATTGTATGCTATTGTTACCAACTGTGAAATCCATGAGTGGTGGATCCTAATGGATAGAATCTCTGCGAGTGGGCTACCTGAATAGATATTTCCATGGTTACTTTCACTGTAATGGGAATATGAGCTAAGTTTTCTTCAAAAAATCCTCCATGAAGGCATCTCGTGTTTCGCCGTAATCAGTTAAATGAATTTACCATGAAATCTGGAGAATTAACATTCTAAATATAAATTCATCTTTATTTTTATAGTAATTATAAATGTATGTTGAAACATATTGGTTAGACTATTCTAATATGGCAAAGTCACAAGGGCTGTCTGCCTGAGAGTCTATGTGTCTGTGAAAAACTGGCTCATATTTACACTGGTGTGCAAAAATTAAGGACAAAGTTGAAAAATTAGCATATCAGCTGAACGAAGAGGCAGAGCGGACAGAAAGACAGGAGATTAAGTAAGGTGATGTACGATAGCACATGCGCAGATATGCAAGTAGACGTAATGGGGGAGTGTCTGAGTAGTATAAAGCATATTGTCGGTGTAAGATCAGTATTTCTGGCAAAGAGATTGCACGCCGTATAGCAGTTAAAATCACACCAAGTTGCTGCCTCAGCGAGAAATGGCGAATAATCAATCTGTTAGACGACATCTGGATGCTTTTACCCGAGGTCGAATCATTGGGAAGTTGGAGGAAGGCTGCAGTGTGACAAGTGTGGCTGCAGAGTTCGGAATGCTCACAGCATCGTTTCACGACTTTGGAGACAATTTCAAACTACAGGAACAGCTATCCGGGGTTTAGTAGTGGTCGTCCACGAGGAACCACACCAGCAGATGACCGGTATGTTGCCTTACAGGCCAGAAGAAACAGGCGACTGGACGACCGATATCGCGTATTACCGTGGCCAGAAGACTGCACGGTGGTGGTCTGTTTGCACGATGCCCTGTACGGTGTGTACCTCTAACGCCTGCCCATCGTATAAGGCGTTCTGTGTGGTGCCGGGAACACCGGAATTGGAGAGACAATGACTGGGGACGAGTACTCTTTACAAATGAGAGCAGATTCAGTCTGAGTAGCGATTCTGATCGCATACTCATCTGGAGAGAGCGGGGAAACCGCAATCATCCCTCGAACATCATTGAAAGGGATAGGTATGGAGGTGGCGGTGTTCTCGTTTTGCGGAGGCATCATGCTTGGCAGTCGTAGAGATCTTCACATCTTCGACGCAGGTTCAGTCAACGGGACCCGTTATTGTAACGAGATTCTTCTTCCATACGTGCGTCTTTTTAGAGGTGCTATGGGTCTACAGTTCCTTTTTCATGGACGACAATGCACCATGTCATCGCACGGTAGCTGCCGAACAGCTCTTGGAGAGTGAGGATATTGAACGTATGGATTGGCCGGCACGATCTCCGGATCTCAATCCCATCGAGCATGTATGGGATTTTCTAGGCAGATGCTGTGAAACCTGCCTAGCAGTCAGGGGAGATCATATTCCCTATTAAAGACCGGATGTTTCTTGCTGGACACCCATCACAGGGATGTTTCGGCCTTCAGTCTCATTGCGCTCCATGCTACTTTTTCAATAAAACTTCTTTTTATCCCTCTGATTTCTCTTTTAGTAAGTGTTGCTTACATTACTCATGTCCTTACGTATTGGGGATCTTCCAGTATTAAATGTGTTGATTTGGAATAGCTTTTGTATAAAGTTATATTGAAAAAACCGTTTCGTCCTTAGTTTTTGCACACCAGTGTACATTACACATGAGAAAACCAATCATGCAATCAACCTCGGTCGACAGTCTTTAGCAACTGATAGGGTTAAACCATACTGGATTTAATACTAATTTTTTTCAGTGGTGGACACCTTTTTTAGAGCAATATCTATCAGTAAGTTGGACCAGAGTATTTTAATATTACTTAGCAGTGGATATGACCACTGAAGTTGGGAAGTTTGGCACTGGGCAAATAGGCTTTGGCAATTTAGAGTTTTCTCTCGTGTGTAGCAGGAAGAAAAATCAATTTCTGTCGGGAAATCCTCTACAAAGGCCAGTAGCCTTCAAAGTCTTTACTGTAATTAATGAAATAAACATTATATATTTTACAGTGTAATTTCCATGTGTCTTGTACATGCCAAGATGTAACAATATATTTTCTGATTTTCATAGTTTTTTCTCAGTTGTAGTTTTCATTTTTGCAGATGATTAAATATTTTATTAATTGTACTCAATTAAAAATGAAATCTTTGTAAATTAACATTGGAATCCCCATATCTATTTTCCTTGCCAGTAATAATTCATTTCAATATTGGGTTTTTCATCATTTGGATATTCAGCAGCACCAACATTTTTTTAGATATAGCCTTGAATTACTGTCACTATTAATAGATTTTGCTATGTCCATACATTTCAAAAAAAAACATTAATATTTTACTGCCTATCAAATATGACACAATTATGTACATTAAAAATGATTGTGATTTTGTGTGAAGTAGTTTTTAGATTTTCTGCAAAATACTTCTCAATTAAAAGATATTTGATCATTGAGCAAAAAATTCATAAAAATTAATCATTTGGAAATTTAGTACAACATATGCTGTCTCTGTTAGCAAAAATCAGAACGCATATTCATTATTAGCAATCTTGTCTTAACATGGAAAATGACTTTTCAAATACAACTAGTTTAATTCTCTTTAAATTCACCGATGGCAGAATTTTCTATTTTTTCCAACTTAAAAATTTGCATTCTATATTATATTAAAATATAGAATTTTATTTTAATACGTAATTTTCATGTTAAGTCAGCTTTGGTTAGGTTTCGCTCTTTGAATATGGAAAAACACATGACGGCTGCCCAAGGCAAAGTATGCATTCATGGAGGACTTTGAGGAAAACCAATATGCAGCTAGCCCATTCACCTGAGACAGAACTTTAACCTTTGGTCACTTGTAAGGCCAATTTGTGCTGGGTATGAATTATCTAAAAAGGTTCAAGTTCCATGTTACAAAGCTAGAACTATTTTATTTTGTTATATATATATTTTAACAAATTAAATTTTACATGAAATGAATTTTATATATCTTATTTCTTTTTAACCCCCAAGTTTTTAGCTCTAAGTTAAGAAAATTTTTAAACTTCTAAGGATTATGTTAATTTTATTAACAGCTAAA